TTTGCTTTTAAGAGTTTTTTTTTCTCGATTTCCAATGCTTTTCTATTTAAAAGCCAGAAAATTAAAAATTTTTGGGAGTGAAAAAATTGACTGAAAAAAAGAACACCGAGAAAAAAATATTTTTAGGTTGCGCTGTGAGACCTTCGGCCCCGACCACCGGAGTTTCTCTTCCACAGTTCCTTTTTTGTATCAAAATAACAATTGCCTTTTTTCTTCGTTCAATCAATATTTCCCTTTCAGGCCTGTACTACAATCGAACACGTTGAGACATCAGATCCAGCTTCAGTTTGCTACACATCGGGAACCACCGGCCTCCCAAAAGGAGCCATTCTAACTCATGGATCTCTGTCCAATAACGCCCATGACATTGTTCGTGACTGGGGATTCACCTCGGAAGACCTTAATCTACATGCTCTTCCATTCTATCACGTTCATGGTCTCTACTACTCTCTTCATTGCTCCCTCTTCTCCCATTCCACTATCATCTGGCGGTCAAAGTTTGAAGTTGAAGACTGCATTAAATACATGAAGAATGCCACTGTTATGATGGGAGTACCAACGTTCTTCTCGAGACTTTTGGCATCAAAGAATTTCAAAAAGGATGCTTTTGGAAATGTAAGAGTGTTCATCTCAGGATCTGCTCCATTGTCTGTGGCTACAATCGAAGAATTCAAGGAGCGAACTGGACAAGTTATTTTGGAAAGATACGGTATGACAGAGGCTGGAGTGATGACTACGAATCCACTGAATGGAGTAAGAAAAGCTGGAACTGTGGGACCAGCTGTCAAAGGAGTTGGCTGCAGAATTGCTAAAAACGGCGGAATTGAAGTGAAAACCAATGCAATTTTCGCTGGATATTGGAAAAATCCGAAAAAGACAGCAGAAGAGTTCACGGAAGACGGATGGTTCAAAACTGGAGATGTTGGACATTTGGACGAGGATGGATACTTGACGATTGGAGGAAGATCAAAGGATATGATTATCACTGGAGGGCTCAATGTTTATCCAAAGGAGCTTGAAGATTTCATTGACACGCTTCCATTTGTAAAAGAATCAGCTGTCATTGCATCACCACATCCAGATTTTGGAGAAGCCGTTGTTGCAGTTGTAGTTCCAGCAGAGAAAGTGACCGATGAGAAGGAGTTTGAGAAAAAATTGATTGGTATAATGAAGAAGAAGGTGGCCAATTATAAGGTGAGAAGTGAATCTAGATCTGCTCCTTTGTGTTGGAAAAAAAATTTAAGGAACTCCTCTTGACAAAAATTTTCAAAACTGAAACTGTAGTAACAAGTTGTTTTCAGTGTCGATTTTTGAAAACTTGTGATTTTTAAAACTGTAATGTTATTGATGTTGTCAACTTTAATCAAGTATCTTCCGGGGAAATTTAATTGTTATACTCCATACACACATATGTTATACTCCATACACACATACGCCTTTTTTGCAATTTTTACTGCAAAAGCGATCACATGATGGAAAAAAGAAATATGAAATTTATTAGTTTTCTCTTCCAAGACTCTCAAAATGAAACTGTTCCAGGTCCCAAAAAGAGTCATTATTCTGGATTCTCTTCCACGTAACCATATTACCAAAGTCCAAAAGAACGTTCTTCGAGACAACTACAAGAAACTGTTCGCCTAATTTCCTTTCTTTTTGTAAACATGACCTGTCTTTTAAATATAGATTGTATTGTATCTAATTTGTAAATATTTTTATAATGTAGCTGTCAATTTTTTTAAATGTCCATCCACACAAATTCAAAGTTCGGCAAAACACTGTTGTTCCAAAGTTCGCCATTCACCTGACCTATTAGTACAGACAATCGTCAATCAAATATTAGGAGATGTGTATCAGAGTTGATATATCATAATTTCCATATCAGATGTCATAAATCCTGATATCTGATTATGCGGTCTGTGTGTACCCGTTTCCACTTATACAGAGAATCACGTGGAAGGCATGCTGATGTAGACGAGAAGCTGGTTAATCGTGGGAATTTGCTGAAGTCTATCTATTTTTTGATTATTGCAACAGATCAGCGAAAGAAAGGAAAGGTTATCGAACTATGAATGATAAAAAAGATTAAAAAACAAGCAATTGAAATAATGAAGTATAGTGTTCTGATGATGAAGATGTCTGATGTAGTGATGTAGTACACTCCCGAAGTAGTATTTTTCTGATATAAGTGCTTCCGAGAACCGAAAGATCAGAAAAAATACAAAAAAAAAACGAACGATACACTTTAATAGTGTTTTGATCTCATTTCTACCTGAAAAAGGATACGGTGTTTCCTCTCTTTTCATCAATGCCCACCCAAACAGTCAACTTTGGGCTCAATTATCTCGATGCCTGTGAAAGATATCAAACTTTTTTCAACTGATAAAATGTTGATGATATTATGATAAGTAATTTATCAGTTGACGAATTTTCGATATCTCTCACAGGTATCGAGAAAATTGAGCTTAAAGTTTACTGGTTGGGGAAGCATCGGTTAGGGGAAGAACGGAAGGAAAAAATACAAAATCAGTTGATACTTGTGTGATTGGTTTCAAATTTTCAGAGCATGCAGAACTGAATCGAATCTAAATTTTTGTAGTTGACAACTTTTCTGGAAAACATCCCTCAAACGAAATATACCTATTTTTTCAAAGTGGCGCGAAAATTAGTGAAATGGGAAAAAGTGACATACCGTTTCCCCTCTAATAGAATCAAGAATGTGAAGTTTGAGTTCAATTACCTCAGTTCCTGACAAAGATATAAAAAGTTGGCAACTAATAAATGTTTTATCATGATATCAGAAATGTTTTATCCGTGGACACATTTCGATATCTTTCATAGGAATTGAGATAATTGAGCTCAAACTTAACAGTTTGGGGGCCCTTCTATTTTACGGTACACCGGTGCTTTTCTTCAGAAGGGGTTAAAAAAAGAAATTCGCCAACAGCAAAACCGTTAACGCTATATGACAAATCAACAGAGATCAATTCCACAATATTCTGCCTATATCACTGACATTCAACAAATGGATTCCTCAAGTCACCTGAAATCATAAATTGCAACATTCCCAAACCGGAAATGCATAATAGAAAATCTAGATTGCCTCTTGGGCGTTATAATTTCTTCCCAGGAATTCAGCAACCCATAAAAGCTCAGTTGATTTTCAAAAATCAGAAAAATGTGGACGTCTTTATTTTCAGGGACTGCAAGTTTCAGAAAACTGAGATATTATGAAATAGGGAGAGAGTGGAGAGAAACCAGAAAGTTCTATAAATTGATGGCCGTCGGATGGGAAGGTCCTCTACTTGGAGTAGTTGTTATTTTCCGATGTTCGATCAGGCTAGATTCTTAAAAGATGGTATGACATCAAATTCACTTGACTATGCGAACTTTTGAACCAATCAGGGCTACGCGGCTACGAACTCTGCGGCTTCTGACGGCTTCTGAAGGTATCAAAGTGCATAAAGTGATGCGTTCACGTGATCTACTGTTTCAGAAACAAAGCCAAAATGGGTCTGATGATTCATTCACATGTCAGATACAGTAATCTAAACCACACCCCCATTCCTCTTCCGACTCCGCCCCCAATTCCCACCATACAAATTAGCGTAGTCAGTCGGTCTCCTCCCGTCCAGATTGAATCACAATTTTTGATGTTTGCTGTCGCTGTGCACCATGGTAGATGCTCTGGATTTACCGATAAATAACAGTGTAGTTGCTTCGTGATATGCTTTGTGAATAAAGAAGAACCCAATTAGTTGAATTCTTCTCACTGTTTTAGATTTTATTATTGTTCTAATTAAACTCCTTTCAGATACTAACACAATGGCATATTAACAGTTTTATAGTTATCGAAACTATAGTTGAAAATCAGGGCCCGGCCCGGTGGGCCCAGATTAGGTTGTGAAAAAGTTTTAAATAGCATTTCATTCTTGGCAAACTTATCATTTGACAGAATTTTTCATAAGTTATTGACCCCGAAACTTTTTTGAGGCTGAAACGGGCCGGGACTTGAAAATTCCGAAAAAGCGCCCGGCCCGCTGCAAGTATGATTTTTAGTGATCGAAAAATCTCGAATAGTCAGATGCTTCTGTGGAAAAAGTGTATCAAAAAAGACACTTTATAAAGTCATAAATCGTCGACTTTATGGGCGGTCTCTCGATCTTTTTATATCACGACTTTCAAAAAATTCCACGTCATGATTGTTTTCTTCAAAGATCTAACTATCAGATCACCCATGTGACTTACACTTTCAAAAATTATATAAAAGGATCCGCTAGGGGGTGTGAGAAAGATCAGTTAGGTCTAAATATTTCTAGAGGAACTTATAGTTTAAGACCCTTGTAGGTAGTCTTTGTAGTCTATTGTTTTCAGTTAGTTAATTGTCATAGGTCATAGTATAACCGGTTGGATATGAAATTGTTCCGAAGAACCTTCTAGAACCTTCCAATAAAACCTTTTAGAGACACTGTTACGTCACACAACTTCAATCTTTCTCTATTGTTATCATTGACCGCCACCAAAACAAAAGAAGTGTAATGACCTCCAATGCAGTTTTTTGATGCCCTTCGCATGTGAATCTGTAACGGAGAGATCGTTCCGGTTCGATATCAATTCACGTGTTAAGTGAGACGATTGGTTCTGGTCAGAAAGACAAAAACTAATGCCATCTTCTCCGGAGATTTTCCACTCCTTCCTGAAAATGCAGTCAGAAGACTTTTCGAGGTTCCACTCTAATAGAACGACACCCCTAGTTTTTAACTTTGAGCTGATTTATCCCTGCTCCTGTGAGTGATATCAAAAAATGTTCAACAGGTAAAATAGTAATGATATTATGATAAACATTTTTTCAATTGGCCACTTTTTGATATATTTTACAGGAAATCAGATTTATTGCCTCAAAGTTGTCTGTTCGAGGGTCCTTCTATTACAGTTTTAACGGTATACGACGATCCGTATGGATTTCGATAGTATTCAAAAAATTCTGATTCCTCGGGATGCTGTTGAAAATTGTCTCCACTTCAACAAGAATTCACACAAGACACTTTTCGCACGAGGCTTCTCTGACTGAGAACTGGAATTATTTACAGTATCATTTCCCCAATTCGGCGATTGTCAATTTTTGTTTCGTGTCTAGTTTTCTAGAAGAGTTCAGCGATTTGCCTCTCTCAGTTGATCGTTCAACTTCATACATCATATCCGTATCAAGCGTCGTTGATGAACAAAGAATGAAGAGAAGGAGAGAAGGAGAAAAGATGGCGTCACTATTTTTGTACAATGTCTGTGATGGTATATATGACACTGGGAAGAAGAGCATGACTCAGTTACTCATGGTCTCGTACAGTCCGCCCCTTTCTGAATTAAAAAACTGTATAGTTCGAGTAGATTCCTTTATAAGCATTTAAATTTGAGACGATTGTTCCGTTTTGAAGTTAGTATTGAAATATTCCTAGTTCTTTTTTTGCTTTTTTCATCCGCTTTTTTTTCCACTTCTTATTCCTTTTCAGTTGTTTCTGCTACCGTAATCCATATTTTACGTAATTTTCAGAACAAAAAATGCTGAAAGCTTCGAAATCAATTTCTGTAGAAGATCTCAACCGATTTTCGGATCTCCACGACGATGACCAAGTTTCTGAGAAGAAAATTAAGATTCCAGGACGCACGAGATGGTATATTTGTGCAATTGTGACCGCGTTGATGACTTTGATTCAAGCCAATGTTCATGTTTATAATTTCACAGTTTTATGTATGCAAGAGGAGCAAGCAAAGATGATTAATGGTGAGTTTTTGGATTTTTAAAGAAACATTTTTCACAATAATGAAATTTCAGAAAGTCGTTCACGAAATGAGACAATCATCCCATCGACACTAAACTTCAACTTCAGTAAATTCGAACAAGATCTTTTATTCTCTGCTGCCTACATTGCTCCACTTCCTTCGATTATTATTCTCTATTTTCTAACCAATCGATCAGGAGTCAAAACTACATTCATGCTTTGCTCAGTCATGTCATTCTTATCCACAATCCTGACTCCAATTGCCACTCATTACGGTTTCTGGTATTTCTGGGCGGCTCGATTTTTCCAAGGACTTCCAACTGCCATCCTTGGAATCGTTGTCTCAGTTGTCACATGTCATTGGTCCACTCTTTCTGAAAATGGAACCTACGTTTCGATTCTGGCAGCTCACTATCAAATCGCTCCTCTTTTGACAATGCCCTTATCCGCTTTGATGTGCAGTGTGGGAGGATGGAGTTCTGTTTATTACACTCAAGGAACTATTACAGCCATTCTGATTGTTCTTTTTGCTGTATTCTACACTGACAAACCATCAGAGAGCAGATATGTTTCTAAAGGAGAATTGAAGGCAATTGAAGATGGAAAGTCATTGGAAGAGAAACACGTTGAAAAGAGCAAGACTCCATTTGTGGCGATTCACAAAGATTCAGCGGTTTGGGCTATTTGGATCACATCTGTCGGAGGAACCATCGGATTCTCTATCTTTTTGCAATACGGACCAACCTATCTTAACAAAGTTCTCCATTACAATCTCTCTACTACTGGATGGACTGCTGCTATCCCATACATCTTCTCTTGCATTGCTAGAATCGTTGCTCAACCACTTTCTGCAAATTGCTCATTCCTTGGAGAACGTCTTGCTGCTATTGTCTCCACATCCATTTCCCAAGGAACCATGGCGATTGCCTTTTTGGTTCTAATGTTCATTCCACAAACATGGTCATCTGTTGGACAACTTTGTTATAGTTTGGTGATAGTTGCCAATGGATTAAATGGAGTTGGAATCACAAGAAGTGCTCAATTGGTTTGCAAGCAACACATGTCTTTTGTCTACACTGCTAGAGCATTTTATAATGGAAGTGTTGGATTGTTCTTGCCTCTTCTTGTCAATTTTGTCGCACCAAATGATACCCATAGCGAGTGGTCGAGACTCTTTTTGTAAGTTTTATTTTTGATTTTTGTAAATACTCAAACTCTCATTTCTCAATTTTCAGGATCATCTTCTGTATCGTCTTTATTTCCAACCTCATTTTCATCATCTTCTCTCGTGCTGAAGCTGCTCCATGGACCATTGGAACTGCCGAGGTTGATGACAGATCTGAACAGGATTTGGAGGATCAGAAGAGTATCTCGACTGCTACTACGGTAGAAAAGTTTTAGATCAACACCTCCTTTGTTGGACGTAGTCTATTGTTCATAGGCTTATTTAAATTTGAAACTGTACAAATTTTCTTTGTTTCGTACTTCCTTCCCCTTTCTTAAAATTATTACGGGTTCAGAATCAAATTCTCATCACTGCTTTGCTTCAAAAAACATTGAATACACATCTCATGTTTAATTTTGTTCGCTTTTTTTCTATAATTTTTCGTACTTGGTCTTCAATAAAAATAAAAAGTTTAATGAATAACACATTTGACACATTTCCACAGTCTTGTCAAAAGATTCAAAAATTTAAAGACCGGGGACATGATATAAAAATCTCAAAATCTTGTTAATATGAGCCTTTCGGGGAGTTGAACTTGTGAGACGATTTTTGAAGGTGCGGCGCCGCAACCAGCTAAGCCACGCGAACGAAACTAGAGTGGCCGCATGATGGCTACATTGTACACCGTTGCGTCAAAATTCATAATCTAACTCCGAAAAAACTGAATGCAAAGATAACAAAAAATAACAAAAAGAAATAAAATAAATAATTTATTGAAGAGAGTTCAATCAAAGGGGAGACCCCCTTTAAAAATAAGCCGACTTGTCATTTATGCCATTTTTCGATTTGGCGAGAGTTTAGTTCTCTAGTTGTCGCCTCCACTGTTTTCGTCAGTAGCACCCCATAGTGGTTGCATGTAGCTGACCAAATTTCCATTGGTGGCCACGCTGAAGACGATAGCTCCGATGATGAAAGCAAGGAGAACCACGATACCGACGACTAAAAAATTCAGTTTTAGACGAAAAAAATCCTGAAACTTACTGATTCCGGCACAAAAGATGGTTCCTTCGATACGGTACAAAAAGTTCTGTGACTCGAATTTATCGGCTTTCCTCACTTTCTTTGTTTTTGCCTTTCCCTTGGATTTCTTCTCCTTCTTTCCCTTTTTTCCTTTCTTCTTCTTTTCTTCATCTTTTTTATTCAAAGTTCCGAGCAAATCAAGCATTGCTGATGATCCACCATTGGCTCCTCCCGGTGCTGGGGATGGATCTCCTGCGTCAGTGAATGAGACGTTGTCATCAGCCATCTTCTATTTTTGCCTCTTGTTTCTCTGGAAATTATTTTGGTTTCTGATTATATTTTCTATCAAAACTTACCGTTTAGAGCTCAATGAGCAACCGGCTCCTATTGAAATCTTTGGTTAGCAACAAGAGTGATCAATGTTGAAGTGGAAGAGAAAAAAAAGAAACGACCGGGCTGAAAGTGATAAGAATCAGTGGTTCGGAATGTCACGTTTCTTCTCAATTTCATTTTATTCCAAAATCTCAATTCTGCACAAAGAGTTGCATTACGTATACGCTTAAATTAGGGTTTCAGGCTAGTGGTACATCTTGATAAGCAAATACTATAAATTTTGGATAAATTTTAGAAGATCTTCAGAGTGTTTAACTTCCACAGTAAACTCCAACCGAAGCCGAAACATGTCTTTGACTGCCGATCCACCAGCATGCACCGTCCCAGCCGCCGGAGGAACCTCGACCCACAAATTGGTCAATGGAGGAGCCGACAAGCTCATCTTCAAGGTATCCAGGAATTCAGAGGATATCTCATTCAAACAGCAGAATAATTTCAGATCAAGTCGTCAAACAACAATGAGTACCGTATCACCCCAGTGTTCGGATTCATCGATCCATCTGGAACCAAGGACATTAACATCACTCGCACTGCTGGAGCACCAAAGGAGGACAAGCTTGTCATCCACTTCGCCAACGCCCCAGCTGATGCTACTGACGCTCAGGCTGCTTTCGCGGCCGTCACTCCAGCTGGAACTGTAACCATCCCAATGTCGGCTACAGCTTAAACTCTTCATGATTATTAGAATAAAGTCAAGAGTTGTTCTTCAATTTGTTATATTTTTGTTCATAATTGTTCATTTCATCGCATTCATGCTCTTCTTCTCAAAAACGTTAATTTTTTGAAATTCCAGTTTCCTCTTTAAAAAAAATTGTAAAATCTTAAATTTAAAGACGATTAAGAGATTAAAAAAAGACAGTACTCAAAGACAGTAAAAAGACAGCAAAAAGATAGTTAAAGAAGTGTGGGAAAGGTTTCATTAACTAAAATAATCGCGGAATTTCAAAAAAGTACAGCAAAATTTAGAAATTCAGAAATTCAGAAAATCAACAAATTATTTCTGACTTTCTGAATTTCTGACTTTCTGAATTTCTGACTTTCTGAATTTCTGACTTTCTGAATTTCTGAATTTCTGAATTTCTGAATTTCTGAATTTCTGAATTTCTGAATTTCTGAATTTCTGAATTTCTGAATTTCTGAATTTCTGAATTTCTGAATTTCTGAATTTCTGAATTTCTGAATTTCTGAATTTCTGAATTTCTGAATTTCTGAATTTCTGAATTTCTGAATTTCTGATTTTCTGAATTTCTGAATTTCTGAATTTCTGAATTTCTGAATTTCTGAATTTCTGAATTTCTTAATTTCTGAATTTCTGAATTTCTTAATTTCTGAATTTCTGAATTTCTGAATTTCTGAATTTCTTAATTTCTGAATTTCTTAATTTCTGAATTTCTTAATTTCTCGATTTTCAACTTTTTCAAATATTTTTTTGTAATTTTTTTCAGAGCATTTTGAATTTTTTTAAGCTGTTAGTTTTTTTTTGAAAAAATATATATGTGAATCATTGAAAAATCCAAAAAAGGGCTCATATTAATAATATTAAGTTCCATTAAATTGACATTTTTCCAATTGTTCAAAAATAATTCAAGAAACACTCGGTCCTGCTGGAGTCACACTAGAATTTTCTCGACTCAAACGAATATCTTTTTTGATATTTGTGTCAAAAATAAGGAGAATATATGGCAGTGATAGGGTCATCTGAAAATTTGTAAATTTAATATTCCGAAATTTCGAGATTCGAAAATGCAATCTTTTGTTAGAAATTTCAAAAAATCGGAACTTTCAAAACTTAAACGTTTTGAAAATTTCAGCCTTCCCAAGAAATTGATAGTTGAAAAAATCTGGAGTCCCTGAATTTTCAAAAATAAATAAAACATTCCAAAATTAAAGAAAATTAAGAGTTTTTCAAGCTCAGGGTCCAAATATTCAACATTTTCAAATAATTGAAAATTGATGATTTTATGTATAAGAATTTCCGGAAATTCAAAAAAAGAATGAAGTAAATATTTTTGAAATTCAGGAATTTCTGAATTTCTATAATTCTGAGTTTCTCACTTTTTTGATTTTTTTGAATTTTTGAATTTCTAAATTTCTGAATTTTCGACAATCGTGGATTTCTAGTCAATTTGGAATTTTCGGAAGTTCTGAATTTCAATAATTTATAAACTTTCGGGATGTCCGAATTTCTAAACTTCTGAATATCTGAGGATATGGAATCACGATTTTCTGAAATTTTCCACCTCACCAAATCTGAAACCGTTGTCATTATAGAAGTAGAGTGTTCTTGAAGAGCAATCGGAGCGTTTGGAATTAGAGGCGCTAGAACGTTTCCCAGCATAAAAATCGAGATTCCAGAATACACAAATCCATTGGTCAATGCGATTTTTGTCAGTTTTCTTGAGACTCCTTGATCTCCAGATATCGTTCCTCTCAATTTTTATACGCCAATTTAGCTACAGTATTCCCCAAAACAATTAAAACAATAATGTAGCAACTTGCGCATAGAAAATACTGAACGGAAAATTCCGTATAAATTTCGGTGCTTGAAACGCGAAAAAGTGCACCATCGATAATTTCGAAAGTTTGAATAGTACCATTTAGTTGCTGCAAAATGGAATTAATGAAAAATAGAAGAAATATTGGAAGATAGTAACGGGACCAAAATCTATCATATTTTTGGATAAATAGAATAGAAGATAATCGATGGATACTCAATAAAGCGGATGAGAGGAATTGTAAATGGAAGAAAAATAGGACGAGGTAACTGGAAATAAACCAGGCTTGCGGAAAATACTTCACTAGCCAGAAAACAAAATAATAACCAAATCCGCTGTCTAAGGATCTAATCGCGATCCAGGAATTCAGCCAACAGGTCATGTTCTGTAATAATGTGAAAAAACTTGAAATTTCGGGAGTCAAATTACGAATTGAATTCTGGATTTTTGAATTTCAGAGAATTTTCAAATTTCCGAATTTCTGAATTTCTACACAATCACTTGGGTTCAAGCGAGGGGTCAGAAAGCGCGCCTCAGTAAATTTAGGAAAAATTCTAATTCGCTGCCGAATTTCGTTGGCTGAGATTCAAAGTTTTAAATGAAGAGCGAAAAAGCGCTCGTTGCAACCCGTTGATTTTAATAAAATAGCCCATGATTTAGATCAGTCCCGCGTCTACTTTAAAATTATTAAATTTCTTCTGGAATACGAGTTTGCTGGGGCGCCTTTTCTGACCCGCTCGCTTGAACCCAAGTGCACAATCTAAAAAATTAACTTATTTGGCGATATTTCAAAGAAAAAGGCTATACATGCTATTTGAGAAAATTGAATATGAGCATTTGGTATTTATGAATACATTACCGGTCACTTGAAATCGGAAAATGCGATTTTTTTATAAGGACTTTGAGACATTTTATAATATTCGTTAATATTCGTTATTTTATAATATTTTATTATATATATTCGTATTTTTCGAAACGCAAACAGATAAACAAAAAAATTGAGAAAAAAATTGTTGAATTGAACATGCTTTTAGGTTACGGTAATTTTCGTTCTGTGACTTATGACTAACCCTCTTCCAATAAAGACATTTGAAAGCTCAACAAATACGGCAACCTCTTTAATTTTGGGTTTCAAGTTTCTTGTATTATTCACACTCATTCAAATTTTTGATTTTTGAGTCTGATCAACTTCTAAAAATTGTATCGCAGACCATATTATGTTATATTCAAAATAGTATTTTCAATAGCAACTAAACGAAAAATCGTATAGTTAAATTTTTAGTTTTCATAACCGGAACTGCTTTCCATTTGCTCTCCGGCATTACGGGTATAATAGATGAGTCTTCCAACTAAAGAATATTTGATTTCAAAAATCTGTGATCTTTAACTTCTTCTTCTTCTCAAAATTATTTGTCCTTGGTGTATGTGTTGTTTTCTATTTTTTCTCGCTTCTCTTTTCATTTCCCTCGTTTTCCCTCGTACTCTCCGCATTTGAGGGCACCGGCAGCAGTCACTCAAACACTAAACATTTGTCTCGCCGATGCCTTCACATTTTTTCCGTTTAGTTCAGTTCAAAACTTTTTGTGTAGAGTTTCACACCCATGTTTTCGAAATATTCGAATTTTTTCATAGCAATTTTTAGTTTTCATGATATTTTAGGCGTCCAGGTAATGGGATAACATAATATTCTAGTATTTTTTCTCATAAAGCCTCTCCTCTATCGTCAGTCTGTTTTTCTAAGTCTCCTTTTCAGAATGAGCAAGTTCTACGGCGTTGCTCACGGCTTCCAACGCGGCGTCTTCACGGAATGGTCCGAAGCCAAAAAGCAAATCGACAAGTTCCCACAGCCAGTTTACAAGAAGTTCTCAACAGAAGAGGAAGCACAAAAATATGTGGATGAGAGAAAACCAAAAAAAGTTGAATGTTAGTCTGAAACTTCTGATTCTACGGACCGAAAAATCTCAATTTTACAGTGGCGTATCCTGAACCAACACATGACACTTACTATGCTGTAGCACGCGGGCATACTGTTGGTGTCTTCACGGATTACAATAATGTCAAGGAATATGTAACATATCAATTTCAAGAATTCGCTTTATTTTTTCTTATTGCAGATTAAAAACTATCCACAACCATTGCACAAAAAATGGTCAACTCTTGATGAAGCCGTTGCTTACTTCAAAAAGTTCTATCAAGGAAATGAAGAAGAAGGAAAAGATACAAAGACCGAAAAAGAAGCAAAAGCAGGAAAACCAGAGAAACGAGATGCCAAGCGCAAAGCCGATAAGGAAGAGACTGTCGAGAAAAAGAAGAAGAAGTAGACCTACTAAATATGTGAAATTCTGATGTTTCTACCTCATTAAATGAACAATAAATAATAACAAGCATATACTGAATCTTTTTACTTTTTAAAAACAAGATCAATTCAGTTCCCTTATGGGTTGTACTCAATTGGGAGGTTCTTGCGACGAACCATACCGTCTCCCTGGAACCACTCGCGGCGGAACTGCTTGGCAGCTCCGTCTGGGGTGTTGGTCCACTCGACGGTGATACGGTCGTTGTTGGTGTCCTGAAAAATAGAAGAGATTCAGAAGAATTTCTTTTGAATTCAGAATTCTTACCTCTTGTCCGTAAGCGAAGGCATCGCAAGAGACGGCGAGAAGGACGGCCTCCTTTGGGTCAAGAACTCCGCATGGTGGGTCGACGCCAAGACGCTTCATGTTGGTGGTCTTGATACCGTATCCGATACGACGGGCAGACGAGTTGATCACCTTGATGTGGTAGGTGTGCTTGTCGTCGTATGGAGCATTGAAGACGATCTTGGCGTTTGGTTGGGTTTGGATGTCTCCTGGTGGGACAGATTGAGCCATGGCGATAATTTGATGGAGTGTAGTACTCGATGAAGATTCCCCTGTCTTCGCTTCCCTTTTTTCTTATCTCTGCTCCAGACCTTTGCTCCCAAAACTACGAGGGAAGATGTGGATAGTTTACGCAATAAATCTCAAATAATTTTTTTCGTTGAATAGAAAAAATTTTATGACTGGTTTACGGAAAAATGTAAACTTGTATTTCATCAAGCTCTCACGTTGAATCCAATTTGAATTATCAAGATACCGTAACCACCCATATTATATCAGTTGTTGAAAAATTTTGGTATCTTTTACAAGAATGGAGATAATTGAGCTCAAAGTTGACGGCTTCGGTATTAGAAGAGTTACGTTGTATTCGTTACTGTAATGTACTAAAATTGTTTTTTTTTCAACTAATTTATTTGTTCAATTTTAGATTTTTTTTTAGAATGACCATTTGAAAAAAGAAAAAAAAAATAAAACTTTTAACTTTGAAACCTAAATTCTAATTTTGAGCCATTTTATCTCGGTTCCTGTGAAAGGTATCAAAAAGTGTTTAACTGATAAAATGTTTCTAATATGCTGATGAACAATTTATCTGTTGACCACTTTTTGATATCTTTGACAAGAAATGAGATATCTGAGCTCAAAGTTGACAGTTTGTTGGCACGATTCCAGTGTACAGTAATTTCAACAGTCCTATTCGAGCTATTTCTATATATCGAAAACTTTAAGAACCTTTATATGTTTTTGTCAAGAAGAGTAATTTTTATACCTATTGATAAATGACGGAAGCCAGCAATTTTCAAACATTTTCACCTAAAGAAAAAAAAATTATTGACCTAGACTTGCACCTCATTTATTTTTGATCTACCTCGTCTAATCAATTCTGTTTTTTATCCGCTCTTTTTTTTCAATCGTTTTTTTGTCTGTTCTCATGTTTCTCGAAGGATTTTCCCTTTCTTCTACTCTTTCCCCTTATCCCTTGTTTTCAAAAAAATACAGTTGAAATGTTTCAATTTTCAGATAAATCGAAAATGCAGCCAAGAAAGAAGCTGCACGACGACGTTTTCGATGGAGAAGAAGACTATTGTCCACAGAGAAAAATCGTGAGTTTTCAATCGAAAAAAAATTGAAGATTTTTCTTTTTTTCCAGAAAAAATTGGACATTCAAGTCGACGCTGGTTTGAAAGTCTTCAGCAACTATCACATTCTTCACGATATCCTCCAGAACGTCTTCGGAAAGGACGAATCAATTTTGGATAATTTGAACTTGCGAGTCAGTTTTTTGATAGGATTTTTCTTTGAAAATCCGAAATTTTTAAGCTAGTAAGCAAGTTATTCAACCACGTCATCCTCAGCAAAATTCGTGCTGCCTTTGTACAAGTACAAGTGAGCCCAGATCAAAAATTGGACTCTTGCGGAGAAAACAGTGACAATGAAGAATCAGAAGAAGATCAAGTGGCTTCATTACAAGACAAATCCTTCATTCTCAATGATCGTAGAGTTGTGTTTCGTCATGTGCCAAAGTTCTTCGAGTATGTGTTTCCTCTACCGTAATTGATTTATTTTCATTTTTTAGATTCTTGAATTCTGTGGCTCGAATTCGAGTCCGTGATCTTCTGTTCTCTGGCTTCACATCTCCTAATGAATATCTTCACAAATGCATTCTGTACAGTCTGTTGAATGGCAATTGGTTCACACTCTGCTCCTACAAAGGTGCCGATGAGATTTGCAATGGATGTTCTGCTTGTAAGGAGATCGCTTCTCGCGTCAAGATCTACGGACCAGTTCAACTTTGCACACTATTCGAACCAATTCACGAGAAGAAGAAACATTATGAACAGTTGATAGTCACAGAAATGTAAATTTTTAAAAATCTGAAAATTTTGCAAAAGTTTTTTTTTAGACTTCTTGCTGAAATTGCTGTTCAGTGTACGACATTGATAAGCAGCAAGGAAAAGCATTCAGTCGTCTGGCAAGTATAATCACTTCGGAAATCAGCTGCGATCAACTGGATCTTGTTTTCTCGGATCGTTGTATGTGGTCCAAAGAAACATTGTCTCATCCTCGTGAAGTTATCGATTGGATTGTCAAGGCTTGGAGTGTTAAATCTATAAATGTCAGCTTCATCACTGGATATTCTTCAATTGATTACAAGTTATGGGCCAGTCAAAGAGTCTTCACCGAAATGAGATTTGATGAAATGTTTGTGGAACAAAACACAAGTCCACAGAATCGACAGGACAACTTTGATCGTGTTGAAGTCGACATGCAAGCTGGAGACGAGATCGCCACGTGTTTTGCTGAATCTATGGGAATGTTCGAGCGAAGTGGAATGTCTGCGACGGCGTTTCAGAATGTATGCGCCAATGTGAAGCGTATCTTCCCAACACAAGATATGTACCTCATTCTCCCTTTAGAATTAGCACATGTGGCTTCTGCAGAATTCGATGGATTCTGTGAGGCGCTTTTGGCGTTTGCATGGAAGGACGAACGAACAGCAAGACACTCTCGACTCTTCTTCCGTATTTACACTTTCGGAATCACAGAGAAGGAGGTCATGCGGCAAATCGAAGTAGGGTTTTTCTGAATAATTATTTTTTTCAACTTATTTTTTTCCAGAAGCCCTTTCAAATCAACTGCCGTCCTGTTATCGCAATGCTCTCTTCTCCAGTTGTCCGTCGTTCGTTTCTTAAATGGTTGCCTGGGACGACGACTCTGTTCGATCGATCCCTTCTCTCCTTCACCGACGATTCAAACAACTGCGTTCTTCATTTGGAAGTCTGCGTAGAAACCTTCTAACCCTTCTCACTCTTTTTTTTCTATATTTTAATTTCAAAACAGTAATTACCATAGTCCTTCTCATATATATCTTATTCCCCCGTTGCTTATCCTTATTGCATTGTTTTACTTAATCGGATCCCCCCCCCCCCCAAGCATGTCCTCATCAGATTGACCCACACAAAGATTTTCTTCTCTCGCCCACACTGTGAATAATAATCATACCGTTTTTGAATATAATAAAACGTTATCACCGGATTATCTTTTATTATGAACAGGTTTATGTAAAAGTTACAGAACTATTAACTAATTGAAGAGATTGCAGACCATGAAGAATACCCGATTGCACTAGAACCGATTGATTTAAAGTTATACATTGCCCCAGATTTTGAGCTTCTTGATTCGATCGAAAGTATCGGAAATCATTCTGAAAAATTACTTTTTTAAAATTAGATATTCTCTTCCTGAAAACTCACCTTTTACCATACAACCAAGCTTTCCAAGCTGGAATCACTGGAGAAGAGATACGAACTTTGTTTCTAGCCAGCTCGATATCCATGTTCAATTTATAATCACTTTTTATCAAATCTGATACATGAATCTCAAATTCTGAGTATCCTTTCAACTTCTTGCTGTCTCCTCTTCCAAATTTCATATCATGACATCTATGCTCCACAATCAGTTTGACATCTAAGCAGTCATCATTTGGCTCTCCACGCAGACTGAATTTTCCATCCTCATTCACTTTTCGTTCGCTTAGTAGATGATCAGTGAAAGCAACTATAAGAAAACTCAATAGAAAATCTAGGGACAAGAAGAATATCTCACAATTATCATCGACCATAATGATGTTTCCTTTAATAGGCTCACCACCACAAGTCAAAGTTCCACTGATTGTGAACATTGGAAATTTGGATGCATTCAGAAATGGAACGAGAAGAAGAAGAGCCAAGGCGAAGTGCATTTTGATAAGATACTGAAGTAAAATGAGTCAGTAAAGTTTGATGTGTTGGCTGAGTATTTATAATAAAGTGTGGGCAAAGTTAGTAAAGAGTTCTTCTTATCAAAAGGAGGAGGAGAGTGGACAAAAGAAGCATTTATCATCAGTTCTGTTGTACTAGTTTGCTATACTTTTCGATTTCAGAACAATAGTTTTCGATGACAAAAATCGAATGGCAAAATTCGGAAAGTGATTGAAATTAGGAATATTTTAGGAGACCAACAAATGATTGGAGAAACTTTTTGACCGGCAATTCTCGGGTCTGGAATGTTTGGCATTACAATTGGAAAAAACTTTGATAAAGAAAGAAAACAATACTTTGACTAAATTCAAAATTCGGAAAATTGCTCAGAAAGGGACAAAATAGAGAACGAACTTGGGTGGAAATATTTATTTTTAGAAAATTTCAAATATTTACAAAAAATAAGTTTTTTAAAAATTGTATAAATCTCTTGAAAACCAGTAATACGCATTTGTCGACGCCTGGAATATGTGAAAATTAAGTGAAAAAACAAAAATGTTACGTTCGAAAATCTATAATCGACGTTTCCTTTTTTCCTTCTGTTTCAGCTTCTCGAAAGCTTCACAGTCGATTGGTGGGGAGTCTGTGCGAGTTATCTGACAGATTATTTTTTTTCGGAAGTTTCAAATTTCGCGGGGTCAGCATTTGCGCCTCATTGATAACAATGACCTGCTCACAATCGTGGGCTATAATTCAAGTTCCTAGATGCCACCAAACTTTTCATTGAGCTTTGTTTTTTGATTTTCAAATAATTATAAACCTGTTTATAGTTCCATTTTCAACTGATCTGTTTATGTATCATCCATCTGACAGTTGCAAACGGAAATTAATTCAGAACTAGTGAGTCACTAGAAACACTTGTTTCTTTCGTCTGTCAACATATATCAGTCCAACCATTAAAACCTTTAATATTTGGAATCATTGATTTTCCATATTTACCCGCAAAGATTGTTGCTCATTTGAAAGGAGAACTAGTCTCCAGTACGTCATTAGTCATCAATTATAATCTGAAACTAATAATCAGTGTCCCCATACATGATCAATTGGCTCTTTTTGATTTCCGGCCTCTTCCTAGCCAAAACCTGAAACCAATTGTTTTTTCAATGATTCACCCATTTTTGCAGGAGGCGTACTACCAACATCATTTTTTTAAATTATTTGTACAAATCGCCAAACGTATTGTTCGTTTGTCATGTGTCAGTCAACAGAACGCGTATCGCTTGCAAACGAGAAGACAATGGAATAATTCTTATCTCTGGAAAAAAAGAGAAGTGACCACTCGGTATGGTCAAGTGAAAAAGAAAGACATAGTACTGAAAATGTTGATATGTGAAATTTCAGAGAGAAGTGCCTAAAATGTAATTTATACTAAAATGTAAACAATTCAAGAAAAGTTAGATTACCGTTTGAAATGTAACAGAAGGGCGCCCAACTATTAAGTTTGAGCTCCATTATCTCAATTTCTGTGAAAGATATCAAAAATGGGTCAACTGAAAAAATGTTTTTGATGTTATGATAAACAATTTATTAGTTAACAACTTTTTGATATCGCTCATAGAAACCGAGATAATTGAGCTCAAAGATAATTGATAATTGAGCTTTATCTTCTGGATTTTTGAGCAGTTTGAGCTGAAACGGATGACCGACGGGTCTATGAGACCTCAGCTATTTTTAGCCAATCTTTGATATTACGATACACATTTATCCAACCCACATCCCCATTTTTAAATGGTATCGAAGCATCTGAAAGTTGTTCAAAAATCTGATAAAACCAAGAGACTAGAAACCAGTAAAACTGTTATGTCTTGAAGACCTGTAATAGAAGACACTATCAAGTTTGAGCTTAATTATCTCAATTCCAGTGAAAGATATAAAAATGTGTCAACTAACAAAACAGTTTTGATGTTATGATAAACAATTTATCAGTTGAATACTTTTTTATACCTTTGACAAAAACGAAAAATTAACCTAAAATTAATCCAAAATTGGAAGTCCTTCTATTACAGGTTTTAGGGTAGACTAAACAAATCTATTGGGTTCTAATAGAGAGAGAATTATATCTTCACCAATTTGGATGATGATCTCGCTGTAAAAACATGCAGTCAACACTCATGAAGTTGATATTTACCACGAGAATACCGCATTTCCTATAATTGAGGCCCACCGAAACCATCCGATTTGAGCTTAATTATCTCGATTTCTGTAGAAGATATAAATAAGAAATTAACTAATGAAATATTTTCGAAATCATGGCAAATTTTTTGTTAGTTGTCCACTTTTTGATATCTTTTGCAAGAACCGAGTTATATAATCTCAAAGTTTAAAGTTGTTTGGACTTCTATCAGAATAAATACAGTAGTCAACATTTTAACAGACATTCGAGAAAAGTTAGATTGAACAAGTTTATTGAGTCCTAATAGTGAGAGAATTGTATTGATATATTTTGAGAGGATGATCTCATTTTAACAATGTGCAGTCAACACTCATGAATTTGAAATTAGACACAAATTTTGGTGCGTGCTCGTTTTTTTTCATTCTATGACCTCTACGTGTTTCTGGGTGAAAATGTTCCACGTATCAGATGATAAAACATTATAATCTCAACATTTCAATTCATAAAGTATTCAAACATAGTGCACGAATGGAAAATAGTGAGCTTAAAAATTCAGTGAAATCTGTCAATTGTGCATCGTGTATTCCAGAAAAAGATCCAGAAGAAGACCTGCAGGCGGCAACTGCCGCCGCCGTCGAAGAGGCTGAAAAAGCGAATTGGGGAAGTCGAGCATTTGTGAAATTAGGACAAACCATTGGAGTTGTTGAGCTCACCAAACTGGAGCCCAGATTTGAGGTAAAAATTAAACCTCTTGTCTTGAAGTCATCATCATTGTTCTTCCAGAGAAACATTGACAAGCTCATCTCCTATCACAATATCATCTACAAAATGGTTGACGCCATCGAGCTACAAGTCCAAGTCGTCCCAAAAATGCTCGCCCAGAAAAAAGTCAGTTGTAATCCGGGGGAGAATCCATGGGAAATGCTTGGAGGATGGCTAAACTTCTTGGGAATCAATCATTACACTGGTCCACATGCGGTAATTCCTGCCAAATTTAATAGAATTTGCTTCTTTTTTCAGAAAATCGTAATGAAGTACAGTAAGGCATGTGGAAAGATTAGCCAGAAGGAAGCGTTGGTTCAGAAGAGAAGTGGGTTTCATGAGAAGTTGCTGAAATTAGAGAGAACGAAAATTTCAGCGAGGTCGCATCTGATCAAACGTATGCGGGTTTATACTAGTGAGGAGAGTGAAGAGCTTAACGAAACCGTCGCTGGGTTGGGCCATCTGTTGCATTCTATTGATGAGTCACGTCATCAGGTAACCCTTTGAATCTCTAAAAACTCAAATTTCGAATAACCGAATATTCAGCTGAAATCTGCCAACACTTTGGAGAAGTTGAAGGAGAAGGGCGAGGCATACAGAATCTTTGTCAAGGCCTTCGATCATAAAGCCAGTGCTGTTCAGGCGGCAATTGATGAAGTGGCCACTCAAGTATCACTTCATCAGCACGAGCTTCTCAAAGTTTGAATTTCAACATTTTTAATCAATAACGTTTTTATTACAGTTCTCGCGAGAAGTGTCAGTGTTCAACGATTCGGTGTTCAACTCGTTGAATGAAGTGATTCTTCGTCTGGGATATCATATCCAAAAATGAACTATTATGGGTTACTGTGATCAAATAAATGTATTCTCTGAAGTTATGTGTGTTTTTTACTCTTTTTTGTTTATTAAAAAAAAATGTCTGAAAATTTAATGGTTTGAAAGTGAACATATGAACATCAGAAAACAGATTCCAGATTCCAGATTTTAAAAAATTCAGTGTCCAAAATTTGAGAAAATTTTATTCAACTAAGGCAAGTCATATTGTTTTTCACACATTGAAGTTTTTTCAGTTCCTTTATTAAGATTCTACTGATCTTCAAATAAACGTTTCCACTTTTCCCATCTTCTTGAAAAACCTCAAGAACACCCACCAATTTCTAGCAAATCTCTAGAACAAAGAACCTTCTAGAAAGTGTACAGTAGTGTACCATTTCTCATTCCCTTTCAAGAAAACACAAGAGAAATCAGAAGATGCTAATGTGATTTGCATGAACATGAATCGACCAATCATCAAATCACTTATTGCATGTTTTTACACAAATCCCTCTAACCTATCTGGTGTAAATGACGTATGTTTTCCGAGAAAATGCAGGTTAATCACATGATACAGATATCATGCAAAACTAGTGTTCTAGATCTTCTCATGTCAACTTGATGGACAGATCTGAATCCATTCAGCAAATTATTGTTTTACTGTCTTTTGTTCAGATTCTCACAACCCCACTTTCAGAAAAATTTTCTATGTATTTGGTTTTTTTGAAAAGTTATGTTTTTCTTTTTTTTTTTGTCATTCTCACTAGATTATCTGCATTCAAAATCTTGTCTCATGATGAAATTTGTTTCAAGGTTGTATTGAGTTCGCTTGCTATAAATTAGAGACCCACTTACAAAAATATTTATCATGTTTCGAAATCTTATGGAATTTGTTTATGTCGTCATTGTTATTTTTCGAGTTTGCTGGTCTCGCAAATAGGCAAAATACCGTAAACCCTCTAATAGAAGGCCACCCAAACCGCCGGCTTCGAGCAGTTCAGTTTCTTAGTTTCTATAAGAGATATCAAAAATAGGCCGACTGATAAAATGTTGGTGATGTTATGACAAACATTTCATTAGTTAACATATTTCTGATATCTTGCATAGGAATTAAGATAATTGAGCACAAACCAAACAAGGTGGGAACCCTTATATTACAGGTTTTACGATACTCTAGATATTCTTCTGATAGTTTTAAAAAAATCTAAATTCTGATGTTTTTGATTGTGTCGATTTGAAATTTTGCAAACATAAAAAGAAGATCGTAAGTTAATCGAAACACCGTCAACACTCTAATTGTAAGCCACTTTCGAGCCTTATAGATTGGCTTTTGTAAGAGATATCAAAAATGATTATCAGGTTTTAAAATCGTATGCAATCTGTTTCTATTGTCGGATTTAAAAAACTGACACTCGGTAATTGCGTATTTCAAAATTTTCTTTCCACGTGGAGCTCCTCCCACATTCTCGCAGATACGGCGAGAGGTATTTGCAACTTTGCGGTACCCTTTCACGATTATTGTATTTAATGAGATTTCATCGTTGAAACGTTGCAATTTATGTCACGATTTATAGAGAAATCGTTTAAAAAAACGTGACACTAACCCAAAATCGTAAAATTGTGAGATAAACTGCAACGTTTCAACCATGAAATCTCATTAAATACAATAATCGTGAAAGGGTGCCGCAAAGTTGCAAATAACTCACGCCGTACCTGCGAGAATGTGGGAGGAGCTCCACGTGGAAAGAAAATTTGGAATACGCAATCACCGAGTGTCAGTTTTTTAAATCCGACCTCATAATCAAATATTCACCGCACAAAAAATAAAAACAAGCAAATATATATATATAGCATATACTGAAAAGTTTTATTTTAAAAACAAGATCAATTCAGTTCCCTTATGGGTTGTACTCAATTGGGAGGTTCTTGCGACGAACCATACCATCTCCCTGGAACCACTCGCGGCGGAATTGCTTGGCAGCTCCGTCTGGGGTGTTGGTCCACTCGACGGTGATACGGTCGTTGTTGGTGTCCTGAAAAATAGAAGAGATTCAGAAGAATTCCTTTTGAATTCCGAATCGTTACCTCTTGTCCGTAAGCGAAGGCATCGCAAGAGACGGCGAGAAGGACAGCCTCCTTTGGGTCAAGAACTCCGCATGGTGGGTCGACGCCAAGACGCTTCATGTTGGTGGTCTTGATACCGTATCCGATACGACGGGCAGACGAGTTGATCACCTTGATGTGGTAGGTGTGCTTGTCGTCGTATGGAGCATTGAAGACGATCTTGGCGTTTGGTTGGGTTTGGATGTCTCCTGGTGGGACGGATTGAGCCATGGCGATGGTTTGATGGAGTGTAATACTCGATGGAGATTCTTCTAGATTCCATTTCCTTTTATAGCGATTTCTTATCTCTGCTCCAGATCTTTCCCCCAGATCTCTTAAACTGATAAGACAAAATGCTGGAAGTTCACGTGTAAATGGTTAACACTGCTTTTAAAATTACAAGAACTTGTTGAGTCCACGCAATACATCTCAAACAAGTTTTTTGTCGAATAGCGTGAAAGCTTTATATTGAGAAATCTTCAACGCACATAGTAAACCCAAATTCCCAAAACAGAATTATATTTTGACAATCGAATACACTGATAAAGTGTTTATCATGTTATCTGAAGTGTTTTACCAGTTGACACATTTTTGTTATCTTGCACAGGAATTGAGATAATTGAGCTTAAACTTAACAGTGTGACGGCCCTTATATTACAGGTTTTACGGTGATTTAGAAAATTCTTTTCGATTTTTTGAAAATTTTCTTTTTCAAAAGTCCAATTTGCAATATTTTTCTATTTAATGACGTTCTGAAAGTTGTTCAAAACCAGATCAAACCAAGAGACTAGAAGTCAGTGGAACTGTCATGTCTTCTTGAAGACAAAAACATTTTATCACCCATAAATTTCAAGTATCTCATCGTTTTAATTGTTTTTTAACTGTTGAATTTCTTCCGGGTCGCTGACTGCTGACCATTGTTCTTTTTTTCACATTAGAAGTTCCTTTTAATTTCAATTTTTTCATAACTTTCAAAAGAAGAACGACTAACAAAACCAGTCGGTTCCTATTGAATTGTTTTGGGTTTAATTGAAATTTCCAATTCTGCAAAGAAAAAAAACAATGGTGTCATTTATTTATTTATTTACTCCATTTTGGTTTTAGTTTGGTGGATAGTACCCTAATTTAGAAAAAAACTAATCTATGAGTTTTACTTTCTGAGTCATTATTCTCACGAGACTGAAAAAATGCTAAAGTGTTTATTTGATGTTTTAGTTCTTTTTTAGTTTAGAGATCAACCTTTTCCAGTTGTAGTTTTTCTTCAGGGATGTTCAAAACGGAATTCGGAATTTCGGAAATTCCGAAAGTCTAGACCTTTCTCGAATCAAATTCCAACTTCTGTTGGAGTGCCACCCTAGCCGCCATTTTTAAGCTCGTATATCTCGGTTCCTCTAAGAGATATTAAGAATGTGTTGACTGAAAAAATGTTGGTGATACTATGATAAGCAATATATCAGTGGAAAACTTTTTGATATCTTCTACAGGAACCTAGATACACGGGCTCAAAGTTTATGCTTCGGGTAGAGGGGTTACTGTAGTTTCCAAGCGGTCGCCAATTGTTCTATTGCAATGGAAAAGTCCCAAATTTTCAAAATCGGAATTTTAGACCGTCTGAAAAGTTCCGAAAAGTTAATTCCGAACATCTCTAGTTGTTCTTAATCCCCGTCATGGTTGCTTGAATAAAGTTGAATGATTCTAGAATGCTCGATTTTAAATATAATCAACTATAAAAACAGCCAGTACAGGTCAAGTTTCATTTTCTACTAATTTATTGTCATCAGTCATCCATCTTTAAAAAAATTATAATTTCTTCTGACTTGTTATTCTGACGTATCAGACTTCATAGAACATGACTTGAAATTGACGTGATCTGGAATTCGCCAAGCAAATTTCAATAGGTTACAGTTTAGTTCAGCCGTTGTTTCGTTTCCCTTACCCTGGAAACATACATTATATAAAACATCATTATCAATTTCCTCGCCAAACAATCCCCTTTTTGCAAAACCGACGAACATCTCTAGACAATAAAATAAGCCTCTTCATCATCCCCTAAATGCCTTTTTTCTCAGCTGTCAATCTTAATTTTTCGTTCCTTTTCTTGACGTCACATATCGAGACAAGAGTACTTATCTTTTAACGTCATCTGTTGTTTGGATAGAACAAATTGAAGAAAAAAAATAGTTGAGTGCGTCGACTGTAGGAGGTTGGATTAGACCAACCTGTTATTTTGGAACAAGAGTGATTGACAGAAGGAATACGGTAGCTCTTATCTAGTCTGTGTTGACTCGTTGTTCTTCTTTGAGTCATTTTGTGAGACACGAAATTCCACCAGACATGGCAAGAATAGATGATGTGAGAAAGGAAAGTAGAAATGGTCTAATTTGATACCCGAAATGAGCGAACATAACTCAGAATCCTCTGACATAAGCCACATGGATCAGCAGTTAATTATATGATTTGTATCTTGTGAATGAGATGCTGAACTTTGAGAAAAATCAGAGTCCAGAGTCTGGAAAAAACGAACTTCTTTAACGAAGAAATCCCGTACGCTTCTGCTCAGCCGCCATTCAGCCACCAATGGTCCGTTTGACATAACAGAGAGGTTTCTGATAAAAATTCGAAAAGCTTATCGTTAGAATTTGATTACTTAGTTATTCTGACACAATTGTCAGAAACTCTTATATTCAAAAAGATTTATGAGCTAATTCGAGTCAAATGAGTTCCAATTTCGAAATTGGGGCCCAATGTGAAATCCAAATTTGACGAGAATTAATGAGAAATGAGAATTTGCTAGAAAGCTTCTTTCGTCGGATCTGAAAACTAGCAAAAAAATTCAGAGCCACCTAAAAAACTTTTCGAGACAGCGTATTTTAGAACTTTTTAACGCGATTTTTGGAGATTTTTGGGTTACGGCAGCGTCAAAAGCAAACACCGAGCCCTACGACAATTGGACCTAGCGGGCTGAAAAAAGTAAGATGAAAGGGTAAGTTGCGCAGAGATCGAGTTTGATGGTTTCAATACTCCACAAATCCTAAAAATCCTTCAAAACCGGAGTTATAAAAATTTGAAGTCTTGCAGCAGGGTAATAGGCTATTCAGATAATACATATGACTAGCCTTTGAAACTTTTTGGTCACTTTCAGAACTTCTAAACTATATAATTATGTTCATTCCAACCAAATGGCCAACCGTCACAAACCCATAAAATAATTTTCTGACTGTAATCAATCTTCGTTTCGAACTGCAGTGTTATATCAAAGACTGAAGAACTAGAACACACTATCAGATGACGTGACGACGGAAATGCAAAACCACATGTGTAGCCCTATTAGCCGAATCATCTGGATATAATCTCGTAGATTTGTTGATGATCTTCTAGCCTATCTGTGTTTTGTAGGATATATCTACACTGATTCTACAGTAGCCTACGCAAACTGTGATCGCTTCTGAAGCGTTTAATGGTTTCGCAACTACCACAAACTACACATTAAAATGTTTATTGCCTATACCAGATGTACTACACAATACGTTTCACATCATCAGGTGGTTCCATGCCTTCTGCCAATTCTTTCTCACACTTTTCCCATCATCTTAATCAGATCAAAACCTAGTGAGCCGTAATTGAATCAGGTCGTGTTGGAAATGATTCAGAGAGGGAGAAACAAGTCACATTCTTCCATTTTCTTCCTGCAAACCGTCTCTCTTGTTCGTCAAAGACAAATGACCCCCTCAAGACTCCGCCCCCTCATTTTGCCTCCAATTTTAAAAGGCAGGTTGTTATATATAACTGAAAGTTCCTACTGCTATTTTATGGTATTCTTTCTGTATTCTACTTATTTTCTCATTTTCTTTCAATGCTCTTTTTATTCCAACGTCTTCTAATGAAGCTGTTATGTCACAAGACACAACAAAGTCACATTCCATTCTTATCACCTCCTATCCCTTTTTCCCTTTCTTTTACAACCAAACGATCTTGATCTTCCTCTTTTTCCTTATTTGCCGCAACTGATTTCTGAATCTTCATTTCATAACTTTCTAGAAATCTGCGAAAATCAAAAATGCTCGGCATGATGAACTCGCCTTCTGATTCTGTGGAATTCTACGCCACAAATCGAAAAGTGTCCGATGAAGTTTCCGTTGAAAATCCAGAATTGAAAAAGTTCACAGAAGTCAAAAAGAAGGATGTGGTTTCGTACACAGAAGGTTGGTTTTAAATATGCCTCTCTTATTCAAATGATTAGAAGTTTCAGATGGTCGTAAAATGATAAATGGAAAGCTGGTCACTGAAACTGATGCTCCAACACTATGGAGTTCAGCTTTGCTCCGTGGAAGGATCCATACAATCACTGGATCCCCAATCAGCGAAAAGGAACAGAAGAAAGGTGAGGATTTTGCTCATTTTCACTCCAAAAAACGAGCCATTTCGTTCTCCAGAACGTGAAAATGTGCGTCGCAACTCCAAGAAATTGGGTAGAACCATTGCTGTGGTCGCCTCGCTTCAGAGAATGGAATCCACTGAAGTCATTGGACAAGGTGCGAATGCATGCTCTCCAGTTTCAGAAAACAAATTGTTTACTTTTTTTTCAGAATCCGATGTTCCACAACCAGTCGCAATCACCCCGGTTACAGTTGTTGGCTCTTCCAGTCCTCCCGAATAATTTTTCCCATTTTTTTCGTTTACTCCGTAGTGTGCAATAGTGGAAGACAACAACAATGGACCTCGTTATACATGAACGCTTTATGACGTGATTATTTTTTATCTGGAGTTACTTTTGAAATTGTATTGAACAATTAATAAAAATAAAGAGGATTTATTATTTAAAGAAAAGTTTCAAACAAGAAGATCAACCGGTAGTTTATTTGAAGTATTATCAGAGGCGGAAATGTCGACGAGAATGTCTGAAAAAAAATGGAAAAAGTATGATGCGAAAGTAAAAAAAAAGGTTTAAGATGAACAGATTTGAGCCAGGGATGTTAGGAATGACCTTTTTGGAATATTTCGTAATGTCGGAAACACCGATTTTCACAGTTTCTGAATTTTGGGGTATTCAGTTTTTCAAGAAGCGCGAAAAATTGAAAACGCAAGAAAAGATGTCACCAGCCAGATTGACGCGCCTCCGGAGCTTCAAACAACTGGCTGGTGCGCCTTCGGCACGATGTAACCTATATTTACTGGTTCGTCGCTGCGCTCCTCACTTTTCAATTACTCTCATATGATTACGAAACAATCTTTCCGAAATGTTCGGACTTCCGAATTCTGTCCCGGACATCCCTGCTTTTTCAAAAACATAAAAATTCTTACCGTCCTTCTGCAAAGATTTTCTGGAGCTCTGATCCATTGTCACAATTGTAATGGGAATTTCATAAGAAGCCAATACAAAATTATGAGCTCTTCCAAGTGTGATTTTCAAAGAATACTCAGTTTTGAACATTCCATTCACATGAATATTTGGAGGAAGAGCTGGAATATTGAACATCGGACGGAACGAATAAGTCTCTCCGACTGCAATCTTTGTTTTTCCAGTTTGTAGTCCGACTCCTGTAAATACTAACGAATATTCGAAGCATTGGAAACAGATTTCTTACCTGTAGTATCGATTTTGACCGTCTCAATCACTTCATTATTAGTATTCAATGCTGAAATCCGACGAACAATGTTCAAATGCACATATTTCAATGATTGCTTCCATCTGGAACTGATTCTCAATGATACTAAAAAAGAAAACAACAAACTTGTTGCAAACAGTAATGCAAGTGTCTATTCTGGCAGTAGTTGTGAAGACGTCAGTTGGAAGAAGCATTTCCAATGAGATGGATCTTTCCCTAAAAAATTAAAAAGAAATTGAGTCAAAATGGTTAAAAGGTTACTTTGAGAAATGGAACGTCTTCTGATGACTGATTGGTTTTGGAGTCACTTGTCGTTTGATGGATTCATAATTCAATACAACTAGATTTTCTTCGTGTGAAGCCAGTTTGAATCCTTGATTGTAAAGTTGAATCTGAAAATGATATTGACTGATCATCTCCGTTAAACTATCATACCTCTAAAGTGAATCTAACAGTAACCGGAGAACCTGGACAATAAAAACTGGGCGGTGCAAAATGAGGTAGATCAATTTGAATTGGAAATGTAGCAGATGTCGTGAAAGTGGATGAAGATGGTTTATCGAATTGGCTATTATGGTTCTCATCATAAAAAACATCCAAGCCCAGCATTTCACTGACAGTTTGATATTTCCATAATTGGGCTCTTTCGTCTATGATAACTCTAGTTTTCGGTGGAGGAGATGTAGTCGAAAATCCATTTTTCTGATTCGGCTGAAAATACTGAACTTCTCCAAGAATCCTTCCTTCTACACAGTCAATTTCCAGCTGTTGGTGTGGTTCGATTATGACATGACCCTGAAATTTGTTTGAATTCTTCACATTTTGATAGTTTCTTTTCTTACTTGAATAGTCTGTCCAGGTTGATAAAATGGTCGATCGAGTAAGACTTTGAATCGTATTTTATCCATCATTTTCTGCCCCCTGAACCAGGAGAAATTACTCAATTTCATTGGAGACAAATATCGGATGTGCATAGTTATTGCGAATAGGAATATGTGATGAAAAATGAAACTGTACTCAGTGGGTTGCTTTTGAAATACACAACGGAATATGATTACGATCATAAATAGAGAAAAAGAGTATTTAGAGTGGAGGACATATTCAAATTTAGGTTTCGGAGTAGAAACGTGACAGATCGAGAAATCACAAAATGGAAATATCTGACCAATCATTGATGTACACAAATACTACGCTAACTGGTTGACTGTATGTCTGTGTGTCTGTTTGTCCGTGAGAAAAAATTTTTAAGCGTTCCAAAACCACTAGAAGCCGAGATACAACGCTTCAAAGTGTTATATGAAAGATAGAGACAGTTAGAGTGTCTGCTTGTCTGCACTCTCTCACTCTCTAGTTGCCAAATGAAAATCACTGTAACTCGACTCACAATTAAGCTCGAAACTTGATTTTTTTTTTCCAGAAAATCACATTCTGTATTTTTGGAATATTCGTAAAACGGAATTTCGAAAATTCTAGAGAAGCTAACCACAAGTAATTGTGTCCTTGACAAAGCTCTTCCCATAATTTAGACCTCCTCTGAATTTAAAACATAGAGATACAGATCACGAAACTTTACGTAATTCCTATTTTTAATTCCTAAAAAATCAAAATTTCAAATTTATCTCCTATCATGTTATCGATCTTCTTCATTTTCCCCATCAAATCCAGTTATTTTCTAAATTCACCGGTGATCAAAATGGTGAGCTCTGTGAACATAATGATTCCAAAAACGACTTCGAAGAAACCAAAAGGTGAAGCAAAGTCAATGTAAGTTTAATAGCAAATTGATGCTTAATAATGATGGAATTATTTTCCAGAGGTACTAAAGATAGAAAATCTCAAACACAAGATATGGCAATAGTTGAAGTGCCGGCAAAACGAGAGGGTCCGAAACAAGAGAAAAAGAAAATCACATCGGTTCGGAGGAAGGTGAGGAGTCTTGAAAAATCATTAAAATCCAATATAGAAACATTTTAGGAGCCAAAAAAGTCTGTTAGAAGGAAGAAAACTAGTTCGGAGGGCGTCGCCAATCATGAAGTGAACACACCGAGTATTCAAACCAAAAAAGTGGCGAGTCCAGCACCATCTGATGAAAAAATCATCGAGAAAAAGAAAGATGAAGGATCGAAACAGGAGAAAATTGTTACGAAAGCTCCAACTACGTCGAAAAAGTTCAATATGGAATTGGCTCAGAAATTCTTCAAACAGATGATGGAAAGTCAAAAGATAACAAAAAGGGCAAAGAATAATACCACCGAAGAAGATGTGGTATAGAAAGCTATTTTTCAAACAGATATAGCGATATTTTTTTCCAGAATGCTGACACAATGCCTGAATCAAGTTTTAATGGACTCTCCAGGAGATCCAAGAGAGTACATCGTAACAAGGGGAAACCAGCACCTCTAGATCGGAACATCTTCAAAGAGAATGGAGATCCAATTTGGGTGGTTTCTGAGAGAAAACCAGGAGACAAACAAGTATTCAATGAGGCGGGTGAGCTGGTCAAGAATCCAGAATTGATGGCTGCGTTGGAAGATGAGAATTTGGAGTATGAGGATGGAAAAGGATGGATTAACAAGATCACTTCTTTTCTTGGTGGAGAAATGATGGATTGGAAAACGTATAACAAAGAGGATACTCTGGATATGGATCCATTTGCACCTGTCAATGTACTCAAAACACGAGGAGAAACATTTTTCAAAAAAGAATCAGTGATCTACAATACTTCTGATGCTATCCTTCATCTCTCTCACAGTCAGTTTTGAGATTCCAAAAAAAGTAAAAAAATTAGAATTTTTCAGATGCAATGGAACGCTTCTCCAACCAAGGTGAGGATACGTGTCCGCGTAGAAATGGTCCAGCATCAAGAGAAAACGAAGAAGAAGAGAAGACGTGCATTATCACTTCGATGAAGTTCAATATGGGTAATTTGTTCTTGATCAATTATGATGTGAGTATTTCCAGAACTTAAAAAAACCTTCTATATTCAAAATTTCAGCGACGTAGGCCGATTGTGTCTATTCGAAAGTTCAAGAAGAGGTATCGAGATCAATTGAAACTTTCAATTGAAAATGAGAAAAAGGAAAAAGAAGAAAAGGAGAGGGAGATGGAAAAGGAAGAAGCTCAAACTCAAACGAAACGAGAAGAATTGAAAAAAGAAGAAGAGAAAAAGGAAGAAGCACCGCCTTGAAAGTTTCAGAAGACACTGTTTTGATCTCTCTAGTTTCAATAAATGTTATTGCTGTTTCGATAAAATTTAGATTGGACGGTTATTGGCAGGATTCAAGACGGAATTTGTTCAAAAACGGCCGTATAGCGGGCCTTAGTCAGATTTATAGTCTGCCACAATTAGCCGGACTGATAAAAACGGGTATATATTTAGGAATAAGTATCTTGGAAGCACGAAAATTGGTAGAAGTATAATTCTACGTTTGATTCACAGCTGCTGAAATTTTCAAAGAGATTCCTCAAGTCTAGCCTATAATCGTCCAAAGAGAATCGGCGTAATGTTTCCTGCGATTCTCATGAGATGAATCCACTTTGACAAGAGATAACTCAGCTCAAAGTTGCTCAAATAATTTGAAAGTTGTCCAGTTTACTGATGAATTATTTGAACTTTCTCACTCCAAATTTGAGCTGAGTACAACGATTTACTTATATTTTATGTTTGTACAAACTTAAGTCCTCTTGTCACACGATTCACCCGCCCGCACCCACCCGGGGGGCTCACCCCCCGCGGCCCCCCGTTGACCCCCCGCGAATATTTACGCGAGGAAAATATTATATTTTTCGTAGTTTTTTGATTTGAGAAACTCAGTTTTTCTTGGAAAATACGTGATTATCCTTAAAATTTTTTATTAAAATTCACACGAATTTAATTGCGGGGGGCCGCGGGGGGCCGCGGGTGGGAACCCCCGGGTGGGTAGCGGGTAGCCCGCTTCTTCACCCGCCCAAATGGAAACCCTACTCTTGTGGTCTCCACAACTGAAAAAATGGAAGAAAAAGCGAAGAAAATAGAATAGTACAGTTGAACTGGTTCTTTTTTTCTTATCTACCACATGTATTATTGTTTCCAGAAAATAGTAGTAGAACCAGAAAAAAACACTCGCATAAATCAGTGAGATCAATTGGGGGAAAAATAAGAGAAGAAATGGAAGTTCAGTAGAGAAATCAATCTTTGTGGTCACAATGAACCTTATTTTGGAAAAGTAAACTGATATGATATCAATTGAAAAAAAAGGAAAGGAACTGATTTGGAAAATTAGGAATATACATAGATTTTTGACGAGCAAAGTTTGAGCTCACTTTTTTGCTCATATTTACACTAACGTTATTGCTCTCCTCACACTTACCAATCATCCAAACCATCTCAAGATAAAGAAGCTAATTTTTCTAATAAAAAAATGAATCATAATTCCGACCGAATAAATAGAAATACATGATGATATTGGTTCATACAAGCAACCTAATTTACTCGGTGAAATGAAAAAAAATATTTTAAGGATTTTTCGGACTTGCAGATTTTTAGGGAATCTGATTGATTTGAAGTAAACCGGCGATTTGAGAAGAATATCTAAATATAGCCGAAAATCGGAAGATCGTCTAGAAAACAAACATTGATATAAGAAAAAGAGAGATTCAACTTTGAAAGATGAACACGAAAGGAGGCCATCTTCTATTTCTTTTTGTCTCGCCAGCTGGCGGCCATTTCTCAACTTTTGAAGGTTACAAAATCATGATTCAATTGTATTCAATTCCTCATTCGAAACTCGGAAAATGAGGAGACAATTGAATAAAAATGAGGAAGAAAATGAAAGGAACGGGAGGATTCAAACTTCAAAACATTTTCCAAGAAAATAGTGTGAGGTGGTGGTGCAAAGGGTATTTAGGAAAACGAGAAAAATGAGGAGGTGAACCGGTTGTTCATTGGAATAGAACAAATAGATGAGTACAGCCAGATATACTCGGGAGGGTTGAAATGAATCAATCAGAGAGACAAAAAGCTGTTTGTCTTGGGAAGGTGAAGGGTTAAACACAGAACAGCTGGGGAGGAGGGTTAGAATTATGAGAAAGAAAATCGAATTTAAAGTGAAAGGCATGACCTAACAAGGATCTCAGACTGCCACCTGCTGGGATGATTGAGTTGTAAGGGAGGAAGAGAAAGAAAAAAAAATGAAGAACAGGTTTACTCATTTTCAAATCCATTATGACCTCAGTTTGAGGAGACTTTCTTCTTTTCCTTCTTATTCACTGGAAATAGGGAAGTCTGGAAAACGATTTGGAAATCTTCTCTCAGTTTTTTTCGCTATAAAAGCTTCCGTTTCGTTTTGGAGGTTGCTGAAAAACATGAAACTTTTGAAAATGTCTAGTTAGAGGGTAATGAAAAATAAGAATAGATATTTATAACAGGAGAATAACGGAACGAGGAAGATTTTAAATTCAGGAAACTTAGAAACCGAAAATTGTACATCAAAAATTTGAGAAATTCATTTTTTTAGGCTCATAAAGTTTCAGATCCTCTAGCTTCTTTAAAGAATCATTAAGCGCATGATAAACTACACAAAACGGTCCAGGTTTCATGAATCAAGAACTCGAGATAAAACAGTTTGAAATTTGAAAAGGCGAGACGACGAGACACTCTATCTATCTGCGTCCCTCTTGCCTAACTTCAAGATCCCATATCTAAGCTACCAGAGAAGCTAGATAACGAAAGTTTAATTTACAAGGAAATAGACTAAAAATCACAAAGTATGCTCAAAGAACCAATTCTCCAGGGACCTGAGATATTGCCGTTTAAAGTTTGGAATGGCAAGAAAGCGCAGACAGCGAGACACTCTTATTGTCTGCGTCTGTTTTGCCAAACTTCAAAAGTCCGTTATCTCGGCTCCTCGATGAGTTATTGGACTGACCCACTCTAAAAACTCAAATTGAAATAAAAAATTTAAAATGCTTCGTATAACTAAAAAAAACTAATCAGTTTTGGTTATCAGCCAGAACGGAAGTTTTGAAGCAAGAAACAGTTCGAATCAGTTACTTCAAGTATGCAAACTCCGGTTTTCAACATGTTTACCTTTCCATAAACTAGACATAAAACCCATTTCTGTCACATCATAATTTCCAGACGTCAATCTCGGAAATTGAAATGTTCTTATCTGGACAACGTCGTCGAAGGAAACGAGAAGAATAATCAGCTGATGAAAACACATTTTCTGTATAAATGAGGTAAAAGAATAAAGACACAAGTGTGAACAAGCGGTATTAGGAGTATGAAAGTAGATGAAACACAAGGAATGACCATGAAATTTCGACAAATGCGCGTACGTTTTTTGTGTGCGTCACTCGATCGAATTGGCTATGAATCAGCTCTTCAAATACATAAAAACCCTTAAACTGTCGATGGAAATCCGGATTTTTATAGTTGGACTTTCTCCGAATTGGCTAGAAGCTTTTTTAGGTCAACAGGAACTTAGATGAAGCAAAGGTAATTGTAAATCAGGAAACTCTACACAAATTTGTTCAAAAATGACTGAGTTCGGACAGCTATGGACCGAGATACAGCCATTTGAAGTCTTGGAGAGACGCAGACCTTTATAGTGTCTCGTTGTCTGCGTCACTCGCCTCTCAAAGTTTAAAGCGCTTTATTTCGGTGTTTAGAATATCTGAAAGTCGGTTTTTGGACGACAAGTACTGTTTTGTATTTTTGAAGTATTGCGGAATTTCAGATGGTTCTAAAGTCAAAATAGTTTCCTACTGTATTTCGAGAATATGAACAAAAACATAATCAAAGATCGACATTTTTAGATTTACTATAATCCGAAATACAGTAATTCAAAGTTTTTAAGTTAGAGTAGTGGAACCTAAAATACAGCTAGTCGGTTGACTATTTATAACTCGTTTTGTTGTCGAAAATATTTGCTCAAGCTGACTGCAATTTCTAATTCTGAATTCTTTTCCACCGGTAGTTTTTACGTACAGTTTACGGAAGCGCTTATCTCCAACTAAAGGTTGACTGTCAATAAAAAGAGCGCCTAATTAAAAGGAACCAAAAGAAAAAAGAACACATATTGCCTAAACTGAATTTCACAGCGTTTAAATGGAGGAAGAACAAGAAAACGGGTCATAAGTTAGACGAGTTTGAGACGCACCACTGATACCCTAAATTTCGCTGAACGTGCTCTCTTTCGTTTCCTTATCAGTGGGTGTGCTTAACTGACCAGGGTCACATTTTTCGGCAAAATTGGGTGTTTGGCCGAGAAAATGTTGTTTTTCAATGAAATTAAGAAAGGATGTAATATTTATTATTAAAAAAAACAAATATTTACATTGAACATTGAAAAAATGGGAAAACGAGTAACTGAAAGACACAGAAGTAAAGCGAATGTTTCGAAAAAAGTGAACACAAAATTCAAATTAGGTATCTCCTTTGATGTTTGGATGTCCCTCGAGGTACTCACGGAAGCAGTAACGAATTCTGTCAAACTGTCCAATGCAAAGAGCATACTTGAGGTAATCGGTTGGAACTCCATTGGTTGTTTCACAGTATGCCATACAAGCTGGCATCACTCCTTGACGCTGACAGCAGGCGGTATGGTCAGCACGAGAAGAGGCACAATCCCACATTTGACCAACAGTTGGACCCTTTGGAGAACATTCACCGAGGTAGCCGAGAACCTGGAAATTTGATTTTTATTTAGTTTTTAGGGCTCAAGAAGTATGACTCCTTATCTCTGTGACACATTTTGGAGGAATTCCTTCTTTACAGGAGGCTTATTACAGATATTACGTCGGGATATTTTTCCAAACCCCTCTCGGAGGGTCCTTCTATTAAAGAGAGGTGCCGTTCTATTAAAGGGGCCCTTCTAATGCAGGTTTTACGGTATGAATCGACAAGAATCGACAAGTACTTAAAAATAAGAAATTTTGGAAAACTGTATCTCGTTTATGAACAAAGTTACAGACGAAACGAGCCGAAAAAAGCAGCTAGAGCAAGATCTTTCACGCATCAGCCACTTTATAGCTTATAATTTTGTTCATAGATAAGATACAATTTTCCAAATAGTATCAATTTGAGGTACTTGTCGAGTCCTATCATATGGGACCTAGTTGATTCAAAAATATTGATTCTAAAAGAAACTATGGCCGGGCCCGCGAAGAAACGCATTTCACAAGTATGCCAAAAACAGTTTACAAACTTCTCTGCCTGGAATCAACAGAAACCGTTCTTCAATTTTTTACCTGATCTGGTCGGAAAGCCTCAAAATCGCAATACTTTCTTCTACAATCCACATCAGCATCCTTCAACGATCTGCAGCAGACTCTCAACTTTTGATTGGCATTTCTCTTTCCTGGTACTCCGTAGCTGAAAACAAACACTTTCACCACTTTACAACCTTTCGATCTCACATTTGTTGAATACGATCTTGAACAGCGTTTTTCACTCCTTGTTGAGCTGGAAGGAATGCTTGTGGCTGTGGTTGAGCACCAAATCCTTGTGCTGCTCCACCCCACTGCTGTTGTTGGGGCCAAGCTGGAGCGGCCGGTTGTTGCCATTGATGGAATGGATTCCATTGCCATCCTTGGCCAGCGACAAGGACGATAAGAAGATTTCCAAGAATCAGAGACCTCATGCTGAAACTTAAAAATCTAGATTGGAACTAAAGTCAGAATGAAAGACTCTGGCAAAGCATGAAGCACAAGAGGAAGAAGATTCTCAGCGCGGATTATCCGAAAGTCTCAAAAAGTGAATCGGTTGTTGTTGTTGTTATTTGTTCAGTCTAACCACAAAACTAGAAACACAGCGTAAAGTAACGAGACCTAAACTGAAATTCTGACTTGAAACCGAATTTATAAAACAGAGACTATTACACAAGAGAAGAGTGTAAACTGAATTAGTCATCTAAAAAAAAGGAGTGATGTCAAAAGTAAGACTAAAAAGAAAAATGATCAAGCTGGGAGACTTTAACATAAAAATGTTTAATGAAAAGAGGAAATTTGTACTGAGGGAAAATTAAAGAGGGAGGGGCTGATTTTAAGTTCGTGAGATCAATTTTTGGAATTGAGGACAATGTGTAACAGAACGAATTTATAGGGAAACTGTAACCGGGAGTTCGGAAATCAGTTGATCAAAAAGTTACATGTGACTGATAATAATAGTAAGATGCTTCAGAATACCTTCACGTCATCAAACTATATCTTTTTTTCGAGTGTTGCAATTGAAAGGAAACAAAAATCGTTGTGATAATAAGATACACTTGATAAGAAGCCATATAACAGCAGAGGGAAAACGAGCGATTCGTATGGCTAGCTGACCATCAAAATGGCCCGAAACCGGTTTATCCCTTGTCACAATTGCCCAACGTCTTCTTCTTCTTTTTTCTTGTTTCTTTTTTTTGGCTTTCAACCGTTTTCTCTTTTTCGTTGAATTGTTGTTGTTCAGTTTGAAATTATTATAACACAGAAACCAAAAAAAAAAAACTAAGACCATGTCAAGTGAAATCACTCGGAATAGACAAGTTTACATATTTATTACCGTACCAGGTACATAATGGGGAAATAGATAATAATGGGAAACAAAACAAACAGGATAATATTACTGTCGAATAGCATTATGATGTTTCAAATGGGTACGGAAACAGAGACGGTATTTGTCGAATTCCGAAGTGCAGAATCCGTATTTCAGCATATCGGTTGGTACAGCTTTGGAGGCGTTACAGAAGGCACGGCACAAGGGAAGAACATTCTGAAATATTGAGAAAATAATCAGGGAAATTTTGGACATTTTTGAGTTTTGAATAGGACCTATTGTTCAAGAGTCTGGCACGGGTTGGGCAATAATTTCACGGTTATTGCAAGGGAAGAAAACCAACAAATTACTGGTTTCTTCCTTATGCAGAGAGAAGCAAACTCACCAATTTGCAGCGGCCGCGGCAGTCAAAATTCTGAAGCTTTTTAGGCCATTTTCTTGTACACGCGGACTCCAAGCCATTTCAGGAACTTCCATGAGCCTTAAATGTTGAGCTCTTGATTTTATTATGTGATTGTTAATGTTGAAGCGATTTACGAGATCAAAATTAAAGGTTTGAAATTTCCTTGGGTCTCGCTTGGCTGGTTGTGAAGTCCATGTGGACAAATATATAACCTAGAAAACTACAGCATTTTTGGCTGCCGCAACCGCAGTAAATTGCTGATTTCGCTTCGGTATGCATAAGAAAAAAACAAGGAAATTGCTGGTTTGTTTCCCTCTGAAGAACCGCATAAGACTGTGAGACAACGAAAGTAGAAATAGTCCACTTTTCAAAACTTCAACTCTTACCTGGTTTGTACAGCACTGAGTGTGATCATGTTTAGAACTGATACAATCCCAAACTCTGGATACTGTATTCCCCTTTGGACCACATTCAGCTATAAATGGAAGAACCTGGAAGCCTTGTTTTATTTGTTCGGAAGTTTTGCAAATCTTCTAACCATGAACTGATTGATGTTCGGGAAGTTACAGTACTTTGCCGCACATCCAGGATCAATTTGTGGATCATGAGCACAGCATGCTATCAATTTATCATTGGCGTTTTGAGAGACAACTGATCTGAAAGTTTGTAATTTCTACTAAATTTTGGGGATTCTAATCATTACTGGATAAAAAACATTAGAATAATCAGTAGATAGAACATGGTCATTGTATCGAATAGATAGGAGGAAGTGGGAAGAAAAATATCAAACGATTTGTTCTCGAGGGGAACAAATCCAGTCTTTTGTGTTGTTGTTTTATATCTCGCAATGCAATTCTCATTGACCAATGAATATAAAATTATTTTATTCTCACAATTAAACTGAAAATATCACCCGGATCAAAATTCACAAATGAAACAAATGAAACCAAATGAACAGTCAAAGGAAATAATGAGATCAAATTCAGTGGGGGAGCTTTTGTGGCTGCGTAGATTTGGAAAAGGTCATGATTTGTGAATAAGAGCAACGAGACCTAGAAGTGATTGACTACCAAATTCGGCATTTCTCGAAAGGATTCATAGGAGATCCTATGGGACAATCGAATTCCTTGGAGAACGCGGGAAGATTCTGAAGAGGTACATTCACTCGGAACATTCCAAGAGAGTGGACATCTGTATCCATAATATGGTCGATTGCTGATGTCTTTAGAGCTTCACACCAGGTCTAAAAACACAAATTCTGTTTTTCAAACTCTATTTTCAAAAACTTACATTAGCATAAGCTAAGAAGAATAACTGATTTGGACTGAATTCTGTCATTCCTGGAAGTCTTCTTGTCTCCTTTTCCCTGTCTAATTTCAACTGATAAGCCTGAAAGGCCACTCGAAGTCCTCCATTATCAGCAATATTCTCTCCAATTGTCATTTTTCCATCGACTTTTCTTCCAGTTTGAGGCTCAATTTTACTACCGTACTGTGCGACGAAACATTGCTTTTTCTTTTGAAATGTTGTCATTGTTTCAGTATGCCACCATCCACGAAGATTTCCTTTATCATCGTATTGCGCACCCAAATCATCATATCCATGAGTAATCTCATGACCGATTCCCATTCCGATTGCACCGTAGTTCGAGAAAGAAGGAGCATCAGGAACGAACATTGGGAATTGGAGGATTCCAGCAGGGAAAACTGAAAATTACAGACTAGAAATGAACTAACTAAACGAAGAAACTTACTGATTTCATTTCCAGTGAAATAGTGAAAAGCATCGACTGCAATTATTGGAGACGCCCAGTCAATAACTGATGGGGTCCGATGAAGTTTTGATAGAGCATCTCTGAAAAAATTCTCGAAATAGAATAGCCAAAGAAAGATACCGTACCTGTAAGCAGCTTTTTTCAAAGAAATTGCATTATCAAAGAACTGATTAGCGGTCAATCTGACACCTGCATACGGTAGAAGCACTGCAGTTTCATTCAGAAGAGAGTCAGGGAATCTAGAAAATTATTAAAACTTCCGGCATTGTGAAAACAAAAATAATTACCCAATTTTATGACCCATTGCGTCTAATTTCATCAATGCCGCTTCTCTTGTCGATTCGTCAATCCAATCCGCATTCAAAAGTGTTTGTTCCATTGCTTTCTTCAAATCACGAATCATGTCTTCCGCCTAAAAATGAGGATGGTTAGGAAAAAAAAGAAAGAAATATTATCTCGCTTACGATTTTCTTGTCTCGTTGGGTGAAAAACTTATGAGCGTATTCAGTGGAGAGAGGCATTGCGAGATTATCACGGACTTCACCAACACAAACTTCCCATAATGGATCCTGGGAAATTATATTCAATAAATGTATGGGATCCAAAATCAACTCACATCCGAACTGACTCCATACATCTTCTGACGGAACTCCAACATTGGTTTTCGATATTTGGCAGGAAGATAAAAATCATAATTTGACACCAAACACCACATCAAAAAGTTGTTGATCGAACTCAATGGTTTCGATTTGATAAGTGAATACAAGTTATCAAAATAATTCACATCAACGACATTTATAAGAAGAGAATCTGGCATTCTACCCAGATTACTTCTCATTTCTTCATTGAAAAATGCCTCCCAATTGATTTTATCATATTTCTTTTTGAAATCTCCAAATGTAATCATGTTGTTGATGGAACTGTGGTTTCGAGAAAGTTCGATTCTGGTCAGCTGGAACAAAAAAGTTATAAGATCTTTAGAAATTATGAAAACTCACATTAGCAATTCTTCTCTCAAAGTCAATAATATCATCGACCTGATACTCAATAACTCCTGTTTCATCTTCCATATCAACTCCCAAAAGGGACAAAAGAGACAGAATGTATTGACGGTAGTACTGTAGATAGACATTAGATGAAGGCACTTCTCGATAGAATTTCTTCTTTTCCAAAAACAATTTCGGTGGTGAGAACTAAAAATGAATTAAATTTTGAATTAAAAAAAAACAATTTTAAATACCATAAGAACATGTTTGTTACTGTCATCGAATGAAGAATGAACAAATACTCTGAATATTCCATCAACTCCATGTAATGCCAAATGACCAGCAAGTACTTCCCATTGGAAATCGATCGAATCAAACCGAGCGTTCGTCAGGAGAGGCCATCCGCCGAGATTCGAGATCAGAGACATGAGAGGTTGGACTCCCAAATCGTCTTGAGCAAATTCGTCCATACAAGAATCGTAGTGAATTTGGGCGAGTTTCATTGACCGTGTTGCGTTCTCTCGTGATGATTTTTCGAGAATATCTGGAAAAAAACTTTCATTGAAAATTTGAGAGAATTGGGAATTTCTCCATAAATGTTAGATACCCCAAAATCTGTAATAGAAGGTTCCAAATACTGTCAAGTTTGAGCTCAATTATTTCAATTCCTACGCAATAATATATCAAAAATGTGTTCACAACAAAAAACTGCTGATGCTATGAGGAACAATTTATCAGTTAACAACTTTCACATATTTTTGACAGGAATCGAGAGAAATCGGCTCAAAGTTAAAAGTTAGGAGGCCCCTCTATTACATTTTGTATGTGTATAAATAATTTTAAGTTGTCGGAAATTTTGAAGTTCCGAAAATTTCTGAAACCTTCCAAAATAAATTTTAAAAAATCGGAATTGCGGAAAATTCGAAAAAAAAACAGAAATTTTCAAAATTCAGAATATGGAAATCAAGAAAATTTCAGAAATGTAAAATTGGAAAATCTAAAATTCGAGAAGTTGAAAATCTAAAATTTGAAAATCTAAAATTCGAGAAGGAAAATTTTTAGAACCACAATTTCAGAGAATTCAAAATAATAATTTTTAAAAACCGAAAATTAAGACAATTTGAGAGGTTAAAAAATTCATAAATTCATAAATCCAAAATTTAAAACTTAACTTTGAGAGTGTACAATATATTTTGAATTCTTCAAAATTTCAGAATACGGAAAATAGAAAAATTTTAATTTTTCCGAAATCATTCAATTTTGGATTCCTCACAAATGTGTCAACTAACAAAACACTTCTGACATTATGATAAACAATTACCAGTTAACAACTTTTTTCTGTTTTGTCAGGAACCGAGAAAAATTGGCTCAAATTTGAAAGTTAGGGGCCCTTCTATTACAGTTTTTACGATAAGAAAAAGATCAATAAAATGTCTTTTTGGAATACTCACGTTTCAGATGCCGATCCATTTCTCTTTTCATCTCGCTGAGTACTGTAACTTTCTTCTCATGCTCCGCAATCACCTTCCTGGTTGCATATTTTCCACATGCAAACTCATAGAAATCTTCACACGGATTCGCGTCTCGATTCATATTATTCAAGTAGTTAGCAGCCAATCGAATACAATCCGGAGTGAGACATGTTGAATTATCGGATCCATACGATCCGTAATTGATATGATTCGATGATTTTGATTCATATCCATCGCCATCCGAATTTGAGCAAAGTTCAGAGCCTGGAGTAGAAGAGAATATTGGGAAAAGTACAGTAGTAGAGTTCATTGCATTCAAGAGAGAAGAACTATTTGTAGGTAGATAAGTGAATGCTTGCCATGTGGCCATTAAAAACTGGAATACCTGAGATAAGAGTGGAGAAACCATCTGAAAGGATTGCCACAATTGTGATGAATGATATTGAAATGAGTAGAGTCAATATGAAGAGGGCGGCGAACACTGCTGCTAATCGAGCATTTCTGCAACATTTTTTTCAATCTTTCGTCGTTTTTTTCCCTAATCGTTTCATCAAATTTCCATGTTATTATTTGCTTTTCACCCAATTATTCTCCACGTCATAATCTACACGCAAATGTGCCTGCTCAGACTGCTCAGACTGTGTTGACTCGAGAGACACATTTTCGAAATGGCCGTTGCGCAATCACGCAAGCTGGCTGATTAGCCGTTGTCCGAAACACAAAGTTTAGAGATTCAATAATTGAGAGACACAGGAATATTTTTGGAATAGAGAAAAGTGATACAGGTGAGGATGGAGAAAAGGTACTCAAGGCAGAAGGCTTTTGTAAATACGACAGAAAAAGTGCTGGGTGGTCAAAAGATTTGGAGAATGAGAGGGATAAAACTGGATCATCATGGAGCTCATCACCCGTTTTGAACTTTGGTTGGTTTTGTGATAGTGATATTCTTGTTTGGTGTATAGAAATGTGTGAAGTGGTGCATCATTGGTGATTGGTGTTTCAACAACTGGAAACTATGCCGTGGATCACAAAATGACTAGAGCTGTTGAGCGAAGAAAAAAGTGGAACAGGGTGAGAAATCATAAGATGATTATGGAGAAAGTGGACCTCTTTGATTTTAAAAGTATCTGAACATGTTTAAATTTTTAAAATAAAATCAGAAAAAACCTTAAAATACCTTAGAGTTCTTACTGTCTCGGAACTATTTTCAGAACAATGCACAACGTCAACCCTGTAATAGAAGGATCCGCACACGATCAATTTTGAGCTTGACAATTCATCACTTGACACCTTTTCCATATCTTTGACAGGAACCGAGAAAAATTGGATCAAAGTTAAATATTGGGGGGGGGGGGGGGCTGCTATTACAGGTTTCAAGGTAGGAAAATTCGTTACGTTACACTAAAAGGGATGACAATTGAATTGATAAAAACGACATTGAATATAAAAATCAATTGGAAGCATTTTCGCTTTTCTTTTTTTCAAGTGACAGAGAACTTTCAAAGAGAACGTACCGAAAAAACTCTAAAAGAACGCCACCACTAACTTTTAACTTTGAGCTCCTTGGTCTATTATCCTGTAAAACATATAAAAAATTTGTAGCCTGATAAACATCGGTCGTATTATGATAAATAATTTATTAGTTGACAACTTTTTTGATATCTTTCGAAGGAATCGAGATAAATGAGCTCAAAGTTGAAAGTTAGAGCGGCATTCTATTAGTCTTTAAAGAATAAATGTTTAGAACAAATTCCTTTCACAGGGTCTTAGCAAGTTGAAACACCAAATAAATACGTTTTCTCAAACTGATTTTATTGTTTCATCATTGTCCACCCCTTCATTTTTTCTCAGCATATTCTCAATTTTTTGAGCAAGAAAAAACGAGGAATCCAGTTTTTTTCTGCCCTCTAACATGGAAAGTTATATGAATCGAGACAGAGACTGAGAGCCATATTTGAGAGCATTCGAATGTAACAATGCTCTTTGAAAAGTGACCGAGAGCCGCGCCCGCTCACCCACGAAAAAAAAAGAGATTGAATTCAGAAATTGAGACAGGTTGGAACAAATATTCTTCAGGAAAAAAGTAGGAAAAAAGAGATCCAAGTTTCTTGGCATGGAGAGATTTCGGGAAGGAGAAAAGTATGTATGTTGGTGGGTTAGGCAAAGATCAAGTGTCAAGAAATGAATAAAGTAAGCTGATATATTTGAATAGAGAAAGAACAATTAGACTCTAGGAGATCTAGTGGAATATTGTTGCGAAGATTTTGAGAAATCTGATATGGAAATTCAGAGGTCATGAAGCTACAGTAATCCGAACTGAAGAATAGAAAAGCAAATACAACACAGTGGTTTAATTGTAGTGTTTTTAATTTGAAAAATGAGAAATCCTCACTTTTTGTTCCTCTCCGATATTTTTGTGATCGAATAGTCGATCATAACAGTTTTCGCCTTCTTGTTCATGTTGAGAACAATTGTGCGAATCGAATAATTAGGTTACCGTAGTAGTTGATTACGCATAACAAAACCTGAGTAATTGCTTGTGTGTGTGTCGTAGTGATAATAATGATAATCAGAAAGTGTCAGGTAGTTTTCGCATGCGGAGAGAGCCAGAAGGTGCCAGACAATCGGATTGGCACACAATCGGTTTGGGAGGAAAGAGAGAAACACGTTGCTATTGGGAAGTAGAGAAAAAGAGTTGGCTCACACGGGAGCACAATCGGACTCCACCCCTGAACGGAGCCGGTTATTTCCTGGAGGCAATTGGAAATAGTGTGTGGGATGAAGAGACGTAGAGATTACCGAATTGGGAATGCTGGTGTTGCAGTTTTGCAATGAGAAGTTTTGTAAAAGGAATTCGATAGAAAAAATTGTCTGACTAATGCAGAACATCAGAACTTGCTTTCAATACGGTATTTGATTACTTGCTCGAATCCTGCAATAGAAGGGCTCCCTAATTTTTTTAATTTTTAGCCAATTCTTCCCGGTTCATGTCAAGGACATAAAAAGGCTGTCAATAGATAAATTGTTTATCATAATATCACAAACATTTTATCAGTTGACACATTTTTGAAATCTCGCACAGGAACCGAGAAAAATAGAATAAAACTTGATAGGGTTGGGGCACTTCTATTACAGACTTCACGGTAGTCGTACTACTTTTGCAGATTGAATTGACTTCCGACCTGAACTACTTTTCTCTTGAAAAACAAAAAAAAAACAACAAACGATAACTTTTTAGCATTAGGACCTGCTGATGATGGATTGCTTCTCCAAGCAATTATTTTTAAAGTGTCTAGAAAAATAAGAGAAGCTAACAAGAAAACGGAAGAAAGATAAATCTCCAAAACCTAGGAAGAGCATCGAACGAAATGGTAAGAATCAAATTTAAAAAAAACTTTAGAGTCTTACAAAAAATCTAAATGTTAGAATATCAAACCCTCAGAAAAGAATTAACTCTTGGAACCTTCGAAACACGGAGTTTCAGGAAGTCTTGAACTTCCAAACTTCGGAATTTCCGATTCTCATTTTACAGAATTTCGCAATTTCAGAATTTCAGAACTTCAAAATCTCAGAATTTCAGAATCTCAGAATCTCAGTATCTCAGAATCTCAGAATCTCAGAATCTCAGAATCTCAGAATCTCAGAAGCCGAGAAACTCAGAATCTCAGAATCTCAGAAATTTTCAGATTTTCAGCATTTCAGAATATCAGAGTTTTAGAATTTCGGTATCTCAAAATTCCAGAATTTCAGAATTTCAGAATTTCTTAATTTCAGAATATCAGAGTTTTAGAATTTCAGGATTTTTCAATTTCTGAATTTCTGAAAAGTATAATTTCAGCGACTGGACGGTGAGCAGTTCCGAATTTGGAAAAAATCTGGAATTTGAAAAACTTCAAGATTTTCGAGAACGAATATCGGAAATTCAGAAGTTCAAAAATGAGAACTTCCGAAATCTCAGAATCTCAGAAAAAGGATATACTCTCTAATTCCCAGTTTTTATCCCAAAAAACCATGTCATGAGTTTCTATTTGTTCCAGAAATAACACTAATAAATGGGCCGTGATCCAGACCACTTGAACCTTTTCTCTCTCTTATCATACCAAAATAGGTTTATCTTCTCTCTACCCGCAATCGGTCAGTTTTCGAAATGTTTTCACACAAAGCGCACCTTTTGGCTACTTCTTTCAAGTAGCCGACCCTTCTTCCTCTCTGTGTGTCCGCTCACAAATATTGACATTATAAGGAGATTTGGAAATCCCCAGATTTATAAAAACCTCATATATACTAGTTGGAAACGGAAGGTGTTCGATTTCAGAATGTAAATCTCACCGATCGGGAAAATGTTCCAAGTGACTGACATCACTGGATGAGCAATCACTGATTACTGTAGCTCCGGAAGAATTGGATCTGAATTTTTCAACGTTTGTTTCTTAAAAGAAACTAGACAAACCTTGCTCCTCCACCGGAGCTCGTCGTTATAGTCGTTGAAGAAGTATTTTGGCGACGGCTGAAAATACGAAAAATGCAATAAAACCTGTAACAGAAGCGCCCCCACACTGTCAAGTTTGAGTTAATTTATCTCGGTCCCTATTAAATATATCAAAAATGTGTCAACTGACCAAACACTTCTGATATTATGATAAACAATTTATCAGTTGACAACTATTTTATATTTTTGGCAGTTACCGAGAAAAATTGGCTCAAAGCTAAAAGTGAGGAGGACCTAATTTTTCCAGACTTTTCACCAGGAAAAATAATTTCTGAAGAAACTGATCCAGTTTTTCATGAATAATCTGTACAGAGTTCAACTGGACATTTTTCGAGAGGGGCCCTTCTATTAGAGGGATCCTTTTGTTAAAGAAGTCTTTTTAATACAGGTTTTACGGAATCAAAAGTTTTTTCCATAATTTTTCAAAAAATCAAAACCTTTAGCTTAAACAGAAGAAGGATTGTAAGCGAGTTTGGAAATCAAAAAAAAATCCATGCTACGAGATTACTCACTTTTGAAGGATCTTCTCCTCTACCGACACAATTTTGATATCGTCAGAAGCGTCGACAGCGCCCAGTTTGACAAATTTAACAGTAATGAGTGCACAGATTACTGTAGGCGGCCCGAAATAGGCGGCGCAGAGTGGACCAAAAATGGTTGAAAAAGGAAGAAAAACGGTGGGGTGAGAGATAGATAAAAAGAGATAAACAAAAGGAGAAAATGCTGGGCTCAAGTCAAGAAGTTCACTGTCTGCCTCGCACTTGTCCGTGTCTTGTTCTTGTCCTCCTGCTGATGACCGACATTTTGAAGAGCATGTAGATAAAAATAGTGGGGGAAAATGAAAGGTTTAGACATTGATGACTGTTAACAAGCTATTTCTTGAGTAGCTTTGTGGGCGCTAAGAGATTTCGACACAGGGTGGACAGTCGAGGCGGCGATTTAATGTTTCAAAGACTAACAATCCTAGAAAGTTCGTTTTTTGAACCACTTTTCTCTTTTAAAGACAAGATTTTGGTTTTGATCTTTTGATTTATTTTTCTCGGACAAACACATTGTTTAATTAATGGAACCAAGAGTTTCAGACAGATTCTGAATTCCGAAAATTCCAATCAGAATATTTCCGAAGCTTTTTTTTCGGGATTAAGAATTTATGGACTACGGTAGGTTAACATGCAAAAAGGTTCATTACGGGCCCCCGAGTAAGATCAGTTTAAATATTTTTTGCGTTTTCGAAATCTTTTCTTCAATTTTTTGCGCTTTTGTTATGGGGTTCCGAAATGCGGCACTTTTCGAAAATTGGAATACTCCGAAATTCCAAAAAATTCCAAAAAGTTCATTCCGAACTTCCTTGGTTTCAGTGAAAACAACTCGAAAAAAGAAGCTCAAAATCAGCAAAAAGAAGCTCAAAATTAGCCAAATCTATTTCCGATATAACTGTTGTTTATGAACTGAAATAGAACAGCTACAGTAATCCTCGACTTAAAACACTCACTTTTTCTTGTCCGTCAGTTGAAATCCGTATGATGGATTGAATGCAAAAAATGAGTTTTTGTAACTCCAACTCGCTGTCGTCATCGTATTATTTTCTTTCTTCTTTCGAATGGTCATTCTGAAAAATGCTTAAACGAATCAGCAAAAAAAAATTCCAGTACATTAAGTTACAAAAATACCGTAAATACTCTAATAGAAGGACCCGCACACTGTCAACTTTGAGCCCATATATCTCGTTTCCTTTGAAAGGAACGAAAAATCTGTCAACGGATAAAATATAGTTGATATTATGATGAATAATTTATCAGTTGACAACTTTCTGATTTCTTTGACAGGAACCGAGATATATGGGCTCAAAGTTAATGGTTCGGGTGACCTCTATTAGAGGAAATAGGTAATCAAAACTTGCCATTTCATGAATACCGGTAAAAAGAGAATAATTGGGGAAGAGAAAATCAGATGAAACAATGAAATATATGATATATAGAGTATTTTCTATGCTAAAAATGCAATAGATATGGGGATGAGACAAAAAATGGCTGCTCGAGGAGATTTTCAAGTGGATCGAGATTGGGCGGAGACACGCATCGAGACGGTTTGCAATGACCTCTCTTGGAGCATTTTATATTGAGCTCTGATCGAATAAAAAAGATTGAAAGTTTCAAAATGCAAAGCAAGAACGATTTCAAAAAGAGGGTTTGGAACTAACTATACATTTGAATTTGCACCTGTGCTCGAAGCTCTCCTCCCCCACTCAAATCTCTGTTTTTTTGTCTCGAAATGGAAACTTAACAAGTGAAACAAATAGAATTAGGGGTCGTAATTAGCCACGGAGAAGGAGGCAGGTGAATAGAACAAGCAAAACAGTAACATTTGTTAAGCCGGATTGAATTTCGAATGTGACGGAAGGAGAGGTGTAGAGAGAAAAGGGGAGGGGGAAGAGACTTTTTTTAACTGGGTTTGATTAATTTTCGTAATTTAAAGAATTTTTATGTAATCAAAAAGTGAAAAGTTTTGAACAGGTTGTTTTTGGAGTTTTCCAGTAAACACTCTAATAAAACGCCACCCTTACTTTCAACTTTGGGTCAATTTATCTCAAGTTTGAGCTAATTTATCTCGGTCCCTATTAAATATATCAAAAATGTGTCAACTGACCAAACACTTGACCAATTTATCCGTTGACAGCTTTTTGGTATATTTGACAGTAACCGAGATAAATTGGCTCAAAGTTAAAAGTTAGGGATGTTAGAAGGTATCCGGTATCTTGAAAATTAGATTCAACGTGAGAGCATTTAAAAAAAAAGAAAGTTTACATTTTTCCGTGAACCAGACATAGAATATTTTCTATTCGACAAAAAAATATTTTTTGAGGTTTATTGCGTGAACTATCCACAATTTTCCCCGTAGTTTTAAGAGCAAAGATCTGGAGCAGAGATAAGAAATCGCTATAAAAGGGAAGCGAAGACAGGGGAATCTTCATCGAGTACTACACTCCATCAAATTATCGCCATGGCTCAATCCGTCCCACCAGGAGACATCCAAACCCAACCAAATGCCAAGATCGTCTTCAATGCTCCATACGACGACAAGCACACCTACCACATCAAGGTGATCAACTCGTCTGCCCGTCGTATCGGATACGGAATCAAGACCACCAACATGAAGCGTCTTGGCGTCGACCCACCATGCGGAGTCCTTGACCCAAAGGAGGCCGTCCTTCTCGCCGTCTCTTGCGATGCCTTCGCTTACGGACAAGAGGTAACGATTCGGAATTCAAAAGGAATTCTTCTGAATCTCTTCTATTTTTCAGGACACCAACAACGACCGTATCACCGTCGAGTGGACCAACACCCCAGACGGAGCTGCCAAGCAATTCCGCCGCGAGTGGTTCCAGGGAGACGGTATGGTTCGTCGCAAGAACCTCCCAATCGAATACAACCCATAAGATGATGACGTCGTCTTTCAAACCGCGATCTCTCTTTGTCTTTTTTAGACAATTTAAATAAATGATTAGGTTTTGAATGTCTTGTTTTATTATAATAGCAAAAAATGTGAGAAATGATAAAATAAAACTGAAAACAAAAAGTTGACATAACCATGAGATGGGCAAGATGTTTTTCTCAAAAAGAGCACAGAAAGAATGAAATGACGGTTTCTTTGTCTACACCTATCCGGTCCTTGGCATCCCAGAAGGTCATCTCTAGAATCGAATCCAGTCCCAAGAGACACTGATCCTTGGCTCGGCCATTCTGAAGACAATAAAACATATTGTATTGACCATCTCGTATTTGTTTCTTGTTCGTTTCAATTCGTTTCAATATATCTGTGTGACTGTCGGCAAGTAGACAACACTATGAACTCTTTTTTGTTTGTTCTCCGAAAACGATACCAGAGAGGGGGGAAAATTGAGACGGAAGAAGATGGGAATAAGAAGAAGAAGGTGACAATTTGGATATATGCTAGTCTAAAGAGTCTTGTTTGTTTTTCAAATATCCTTGCAATCCCGTGAACGGACTTCACAAGTTTCAAAAAGTTCAACTTGTACTGTTTTGTGTGTTTTGATGAAAGAAAGGAAGAGATTTCCAGGAACATTCGAATAAAAATATTTATTTCATTTATTTTATCGAAGAACATAACATCAATGACACAAGAATATTACTGACTGAAAACTCCTTTTTTTCCTAGCAAATCTGAAAACTAAAGAAACTACCTTTTCAGTTTTTCACAACGAATCTGAAAACTAAACTACAGTAATCCTTAATCCTTATTTTCAGAATAACACCAAAATTTCTACTACAGTAATCCCCATGTCATGTATTCAAATTTTAAAAGTGAATCCAAAAACTACAGTAATCCTCATTTAATTTTTTTCATTCCGGAAATGAATGGTTTTTATAATTTTTCTTTGTCATTGAAATGTGTTCTTCGATAATAGAAGATTTGATCGTTCAACATGTTTATTTGTTTGCCATAGAATACCGTTACAGGTGATTCAACCTACCAAAATCTTAAT